TTTTACGTATCCGGCCTTGGCATCCAATACTCAGGCGGCCATGTGTCTGATGTTGGATATCTTGGGTTGGAAGTTCGACCGTGAAGGACCCAAGAGCGATGATTTTTCTTTGCTTGTCAAAGCTTTGGGCGTGCAATTCAGTCTGGCGAATTGTGCGGATGGCCTTTTGGAAGTATGTAACACCGAGAAGCGGATTCAGGAGACAGTGGCCTTTGTGGAAGGCATCATAGAAAGCGGCAAGTTGGACAAGAGACAAGCCCTTGTTTTGAGGGGCCGTTTGGCTTTCTGTGACGGGTATATTTTTGGCCGTCTTGGGAGAGTTGCTTTGCAGAATATAACAAGGCACGCTTACAATGTGCCATTTCAAACTGACCTGTCACCCAGCCTTGTTGACTCTTTACAACTCCTGAGGGACCGCGTTCTTCATGGAGCGCCAAGACAGCTCACATGCAAGTTGCTGGAAACAATGTATCTTTTCACGGATGCTAGCTTTGATTTACAGAAGGGTGCAGGCTTGGGCGCAGTTTTGGTTTCGGGTGCGGGCTTTGTGATTTCTTGGCTGAGCCTATGGGTTGGCAAATATCGCTTTTCCTCCCGGAGGGCAGGGAGACGGCGATTGGTGAACTTGAGACCCTTGCGGTTGCTATGTCTTTATTTGTTTGGCATCAGCGTCTGAAATCTACGCAACTGGTTGTGTACATCGACAATGAGGGTGCAAAGTATTCCCTTATCAAGGGATATTCCTCTGCGTTGGCTGTTACAGCCATATGTGCCCTTATGGCCACCTTCTTGGACGCCCACTGCATTTTGCCCTGGTACAGCCGTGTTCCTTCAGCTTCAAATCTTGCAGACTATCCTTCCAGACAAATAAATCACCCCCTCTTGAAAGAGGAGATGAAAATCCCTGAAGGGGAAGCCCTTGAAGCCTTCAGAGGCAGCATGGAATTTATTTGTCAGGCGAAAGCGCCACATGAATCATGGGTGGGGGCCGTGGCGAAAGCGGGCGGTGTGAAATCCCCCATCTATAAGTAAAGAAAAAAGACAAATAATATTAAGTCCGAGGGATTCCATGCTGTGCAGTCGTTTTTTAAGTTTGAGTTGTTTCTACTGTTTGAGAAGAGCTGGCCGAATTTTGGCTTATATGGTTTTTATAAATTAAGGAAATATATGCGTAGAAGATATAAGATATGTGCGCGATATTTGGATGTCTGCGGTTTCAGGGTTTTGGAAAAATAATTATAGGGTTTTTTGGAATCTCCGGTTGCAGATCGCATTGGAATGGCTGCATGAGGTTGCAAGGGCTCGGTTTTGGGGAGGAAGCCGGAGCACGAAACCTTGTGTTTTTCCGTGTAAAGTGCTTGCAGCCAGCGATGAAAGGTACTTCATCTGTGCGGCGGTTGCGGCTGCGGTCGGTTTGCCTTTTTTTCTTGCCGCAGTGTAATGGTGGCTTGAAGCTGCTTTGGGTCTGCTTGTGTGTGCGTCGTTATAGGGTGTTTTTTGCAATCTCCGGTTGCAGATCGCATTGGAATGGCTGCATGACTGTTGTCATCTAGTGTTCTGGTGTTGTTCTGTGCGTAGATAGGTGCAAGTTTGCGAGTTGATGCTGCAAACCGCATTGTAATGGCTGCATGATGTTGCATGGGCTCTGTTTTCGGGAGGAAGCCGGAGCACGAAACCTTGTGTTTTTCCGTGTAAAGTGGCTGCAGCCGGCGATGAAAGGTACCTCGTCTGTGCGGCGGTTGCGGCTGCGGTCGGTTTGCCTTTTTTTTTTGCCGCATTGTAACGGTGGCTTGAAGCTGCTTTGGGTCTGCTTGTGTGTGCGTAGTTATAGGGTGTTTTGGAATCTCCGGTTGCAGATCGCATTGGAATGGCTGCGTCAAGGTTGCTCGGTGCCGCGGCTGCATGCGTAATACTATTGTCTTTTGCAGCTGAAGATCGTAAATCGTATTGGAGTGGCTGCATCCAGGCTGCCGCAGTGATTTGTCAGCAGATTTTCGCAATTTTGGCGCTAGTAATTTTCCTTTTAAACATCATCAATAAAGTGCTTCAAAATCGTCTTTTTTCTGCTTTGGCGCCGAGATCCGGTTTTGGAGCTGCAATTTCCGACGCCGTTGCGTGTAGATCTATTGTGTTTTGCAACTCAGTCTCTGCAGATCGCATTGTAGTGGCTGCGTCAAGCGTAATACTATTGTCTTTTGCAGCTGGATCTCGTAAATCGTATTGGAGTGGCTGCAGCCAGGCTGCTTGAGTGATTTGTCAGCAGATTTTCGCAATTTTGGCGCAGTAATTTTCCTTCTAAAATACCTTTTAAAAAGTCTTCAAAATCGTCTTTTTTCTGCTGTGGCGTCGAGATTCGGTTTTGGAGCTGCAATTTCCGACGCCGTTGCGTGTAGATCTATTGTGTTTTGCAACTCAGTCTCTGCAGATCGCAATGTAGTGGCTGCGTGCCGCGGCTGCATGCGTAATACTATTGTCTTTTACAGCTGGATCTCGTATATCGTATTGGAGTGGCTGCATCCAGGCTGCGAGATTGATTTGTCAGCAGATTTTCGCAATTTTGGCGCTAGTAATTTTCCTTTTATGAATTCTTTTAAAAAGTGCTTCAAAATCGTCTTTTTTCTGCTTTGGCGTCGAGATCCGGTTTTGGAGCTGCAGTTTCCGAGGCTGTTGCGCGTAGTTCTATTGTGTTTTGCAACTCAGCCTCTGCAGATCGCATTGGAATGGCTGCGTCAAGGTTGCTTGGTGTGGCGGCTGCATGCGTAATACTAGTGTCTTTTGCAACTGAACATCGTAAATCGTATTGGAGTGGCTGCATCCAGGCTGCGATAGCGATTTGTCAGATTTTCTCAATTTTGGCGCTAGCAATTTTCCTTTTAAAAATGATTTTAAAAAGTGCTTCAAAATAGTCTTTTTCCTGCTTTGGCGTCGAGATCCATCCGGTTTTGGAGCTGCAATTCCTGTTGTGACTATGTACAAGACTCGGTAAAAACTTTTTTCTGTAAAAGCTTGCTGTGTGTAAAAGATTTTGTGTGTCAAAGCTTGCTGTGTGTAAAAGCTTCTCTGTGTGTAAAAGCTTCTCTGTTTAAAAAGCTTGCTGTGTGTGTGTAAACGCTTGCTGTGTGTGAAAGCTTGCTGTGTGTAAACGATTTTGTGTGTAAAAGCTTGCTGTGTGTAAAAGCGTCTCTGTGCAAAAGTTTCTCTGTGTAAACGCTTGCCATGTGTAAAAACACTGTGTGTAAGTGTTCTATGTGTAAACGCTTGCTGTGTGTGAAAGCTTGCTGTGTGTAAAAGCTTCTCTGTGAAAAAGCTTGTTGTGTGTAAAAGCTTCTGTGTGTAAAAGCTTCTCTGCTTGAAAAGCTTGCTGTGTGTAATAGCTTCTCTGCGAAAGAACTTGCTGTGTGTAGAAGCTTTCTTTGTGCAAGCTTGTTTAAAAAGCTTGCTGTGTGTAAAAGCTTCTGTGCGAAAGAACTTGCTGTGTGTAAAAGCTTTCTTTGTGCCAACTTTGTATCACAATGTAGTACTGGGACGTACTTTCTGCAAGGTTTGTAGTACACAGTAGTACTGGGAAGTAGTCTGTGCAAGCCTTGTAGTACAAAGTAGTACTGGGAAGTGCTTTGTGCAAGCTTTGTAGTACAAAGTAGTACTGGGAAGTGCTTTGTGCAAGCTTTGTAGTACAAAGTAGTACTGGGAAATACTTTGTGCAAGCTTTGTAGTACAAAGTAGTACTGGGAAGTGCTTTGTGCAAGGTTTGTAGTGCACAGTAGTACTGGGAAGTAGTTTGTGCAAGCTTTGTAGTACAAAGTAGTACTGGGAAGTAGTTTGTGCAAGCTTTGTAGTACAAAGTAGCAGTGGGAAGTACTTTTTTCAAGCTTTTTAGTACAAAGTAGTACTGGGAAGTCGTTTGTGCAAGCTGTGTAGTACAAAGTAGAACTGGGAAGTACTTTTTGCAAGCTTTGTAGTACACAGTAGTACTGGGAAGTAGCCTCTGCAAGCTTTGTAGTACAAAGTAGTACTGGGAAGTGCTTTGTGCAAGCTTTGTAGTACAAAGTAGTACTGGGAAGTAGTTTGTGCAAGCTTTGTAGTACAAAGTAGTACTGCGAAGACTGGGAAGTAGTTTGTGCAAGCTTCTGTAATAGACACCAGTACTGGGAAGTGGTTTGTGACTGTGCAAGCTTTGTAATACAAAGTAGTACTGGGAAGTGCTTTGTGCAAGCTTTGTAGTACAAAGTAGTACTGGGAAGTGCTTTGTGCAAGCTTTGTAGTACAAAGTAGTACTGGGAAATACTTTGTGCAAGCTTTGTAGTAGTACAAAGTAGTACTGGGAAGTGCTTTGTGCAAGGTTTGTAGTGCACAGTAGTACTGGGAAGTAGTTTGTGCAAGCTTCGTAGTACAAAGTAGTACTGGGAAGTAGTTTGTGCAAGCTTTGTAGTACAAAGTAGTACTGGAACGTGTTTTGTGCAAGGCATGGAATGAGATGAGAAGAGCCCAGATGAGATGAGTTGAGATGAAGTGCAAGTGTGAAGTGCAAGTGTGAAGTGTGGGGCGTGAAGGGTGCAGTGTGAAGTGTGGAGTGTGAAGAAAGCAGTGAGAAGTGAGAAGTGTGAAGCGTGGACTGTGAAGTGTGAAGTGTGGAGTGTGAAGTGTGAAGTGTGGAGTGTGAATTGTGAAGTGAAGTGTGGAGTGCGATGAGTGCAGTGCGAAGTGTGAAGTGTGGAGTGTGAAGCGTGAAGTGTGGAGTGTGAAGAGTGCAGTGAGAAATGTGAAGTGCGAAGTGGAGCTTCAAATGTAACATGTGAAACAGGACACCAGTTTCGCAGAGTGCACGCACGCACTGGCTTGGCTGGCGCACGGCGCATGCAAGTTCTATAGATGAGAAAGGTCTTATATATATCTTTAAAGCAACTTCCGCCCTGCCTCGTGCGGGTACTACTGGTACAATACAATAATATTAAATATACGGTATTTGGCCTTAGGTATTTGATTCAGCAACTTCATGCGAGGACTTCTGGATACGATAAGGCTGAGATCCTCCTTGAGTCTCCTGGCCTTATAGAAAGCTGTACGTAAAAAAACTAGGGGAAGGCACATGTCTTCTGTGATGCGCCAAACCTCTATCTTTCACATTTTAACTCTTGTCTGACTGCCACGATCCAGGCAATGCAGCAGCGGTGCTGCAAGTGAAGGCCAAAGGGCCACCGACGTAGGGAGTTACGAGTTACACAACGTGATGAAGTGACAGATACAATTCGAACACATGTTTTAAAGAGTACAGTGGCGATTCTTGTTGGGGGCTGGCCAATTGCACCACTAGTTTTTAAATTGTGTTTCGAACATCATACAGGTTGAAGATGGTATGAACACATGGGGTGGGTTGGGGTTGAGATGGAGTGGACAATCGACCAAGATGTGAAGCGTCAGAAACTACGGGCCATGTCTTGGCTTCTTGATCTTCTAATTTTTGGAGTCTTGAGTCGACATTAGTCAAATCTTTTTATTTTTGAGAGTTACAATGGCCTTGAGCTTCTCACAGGAGTTACAGAGGACCAGTTAAGACATGTTTAGAAGATGAACATAATTTAGTTAAAATTGTCTGAAATTGGACATGCACACGGCGAAAACTTCTGGAAGTTCCACCCTGATTAAACTGATTCTTTGAGGCCACGGTTTTGAGACAAAATAGTTTGCACCCTTGCTGTAGCTTCTGAAACTAGCCAACTATCCCAGTTTTGTCGGCGAGCATGCAAAGTCTGTAATGTAGTAATTAGGCAAGATAGAGATGCAGATAGTCTAACGCTTGAATTTTTTGAATCATGTCAGGATCAAAATGCAACCTCCTGGGTTTGTCGGAACATTTTCAATCTTGGGCCCACCCCGAAGTCCCATGGTTTATCATCATGTCCGCCAACAAGCTTGCCATTTGATGCCATTTCGGTGGATAGCCCACTTTCAGCTGAAGCTAGCATCCACTCGTATCAAGGTGTTCACATTTGGTTGCCTAAATTGAGCCAAGCGCTGCGGAGGTGTGGCCCTGATGAAACCTAGTGATTCCGAAGCCGACAAGGTCGGTCTCAGGGATCAACGGCTCATGAATCAGCGGGTCAGAATTCGGACATTACGAGAATCGTTTTCGTTTTTCTTTTTTTCTGCTGGATTTACTGTAGTTGTGCACCAAAGATCTGACTCATTTCTAAGGCCTTTGCATCTGGTGCCCCAAGGTTCGGTTGGGTAGATCTGCAGTTGTGAAGTTTCCAAAAGACCATTCCTCACTTTGCCATTAAAATGAAACTTGGCACTGTGCCCTTGAACCAAAAGAGTGTGATGGCCCCTTCGCTGAATGAGGAAGCCAGCGCAACTTTCTGCTGATTTCTGGCTTCCTGAGTGCCTTGGGCAGAACAGCCGGCTTGCTGATTTCAATTGGAATCGCAAATCACAAATCCAAGTTGAGCGACTCAGATCTGGGTAAAGGCTTTGCTCAGCCCTAAGGTTGAGAAACCAAATATCATCCTATCTTGATGTGCCGGCACTGTGTGCTCAGCGAGCCACAGCTCGTGAGAACTACTCACCGAAGGCCTGCGCTGCTGCGCTTTGTTGAGATTCGTTTTTGCGCATTGTTTTTTTTTGGGTGGCCCAGGCTTTTGTTGCTCACCTTGTGCAGCTTGTCCGACCTGAAACGCCAATCCCTCAGATGGCAGACTGTGAAAGTGTAGCGTGGCAGGGAAGACCGCACTTGAAAATGCAAATCGGTTGCCAGGCCTGATGTAATCGTGGCAGCTGCAGATATTGTTTACAACGAAGAGGAGCTTCCATCGCGGGAGTACGCGCAAGTGTTTGCTCGGGACCGCTTTCAACTCTTCGCGCGGTTTCGAGGCGCAACTAGGTTAGAAACAGATCACTATAGCATTCACTTGTGTTCTTCTGGAACATGGTTTGAAGAGTGTAAAGAACATTCTTCAGTTGAAGCCAACACATGAGACATGCAAAATTCAGCTAGTTCATGTTGAGGGTATTGAATGCCGAGTGTGACCAACTGATGGTCATGGCACGGATGAATGTTGGAGCCCTGAGGTGCCACGAGCATCTTCGACGCCGGCGCACCGGCTTTTCGACTATGGTGGGCGAGCAACCCTGGAGCAATCACCCACTTGTTGACCTGCTGGATAGAACACACCAATTCATTGGACGCAAGGGGGCAAACGATAGTTCTCGGAGCTTCGCTGAATGTCTTCGAGGATTTGGACTGGGGTGCATTGCATCTCAAGCAAATGTTCGCTGCAGAAATCATTCGATTGGAGGCTGAGAGCCACCACCCGAGTGTGCAAACCAATGTGTCTATAATTTTGCAACAGTTCCCGGAGATCCGATCATTGGCCTGCGCAGCAAGTGCCCCAGACACACGTGCTGGCGCGCTACGCAAGCCTCCTCCCATTTGGACTTAAAGCTGCCCCAGAATTGCGCCACGAAAAAGTTCCGGAAACTCTCACTTGACAGTGTTTTTCCCTTTTTAGCAGCGCTCTTTCCACTGCAATCCTAAAGGTAAAGGATGCCATTTCAGATCAAAAATAGCCGCAACGCTTGCAAAATTCAAAATGCCGTTTGACGGCAAACGTCTTACATGTAAAGAGGCCGGTGCGGTGCGGCTGCTTGAAATTGGAGCTTCCTGGGCCCGGGAAAAACACTTACATTGTGAACCCAAAAGAACATCTCAGCCACACTGTTGACCTGGAGCTTCGTTACTGTCAAAAGTTACGTTGTGGTCATTGGTGTCTGATTCGGTATAGCCATACCAGAATGTTTGGGGTGTCCACTGGGTCGGTATAGTCATAGTCATAAATGTTCAAGCAGCTGGATATTTGACGTCATTGATTTAAGTGTGAATGGTTGCATATCCGTTTGCGGAACTCCGACAGAAAGTTGCTGCCTTGCCTTGCTAACACGAACCTAGACCAAGTCCATCACTCTATGACAGAGTCCATACACCCTGAGTCAGTCACCCTGCTACCATTGAATCAAGATCCATCACAACGTTGGCTATAACATGCTATAAGTGTCCAAGAATCTACCTAGGAAACGTTGGCTATAACTGTCCAGGAATCTACCTGGGTGTAACTTTGGCTATAACTAGGCCAGCGTAGACGGTGTCAGGGAACACACGACCGTGTCAGGGAACGTGAGTCAGAGAACAGGAACGTCGAAGTCAGCGAAAAAAAAGTCGAAGTCAGGGAAAAATACGTCGAAGTCAGGGAAAATATGCGTACAGTGCACAAAGGTGCGCAACGTGCATGAAGCGCGCAAAGTGCATCAAAAAGTGCGTAAAAAGTGCGTAAAAAGTGCGCGCAAAGTGCGTAAAGTGCGCAATCTGCGTAAAGTGCGCAATCTGCGTAACGTGCGCAAAGTGCGTAAAAAGTGCATAAAAACTGCGTCAAAAGTGCATACAAAGTGCGTAAAGCGCGCGCCAAGTCAAAGTGCCTAAAGTGCGCAAAGTGGGTAAAATGCGCAAAGTGCGTACAAAGTGCGTTGAAAGTGCTTAAAAAGTGCGTAAAGTGTGCGCCAAGTATCGCCAAGTCAAAGTGCGTAAAGTGCGCAAAGTGTGTAAACTGGATAAAGTGCGCAAAGTGCGCAAACTGGGTATACAGTGCGCAAAGTGCGTAAAAGGTGCGTAAAAAGTGCGTAAAGAGTGCGCGCCAAGTCAAAGTGCGCGTACAAAGTGCGTTGAAAGTGCGTAAAGTGTGCGCCAAGTCAAACTGTGTAAAGTGCGCATACTGCGTAAATTAGATAAAGTGCGCAAAGTGCGTAAACTGGGCACAGTGCGGAAAGTGCGTAAAAGGTGCGTAAAAAGTGCGTCAAAAGAACGTAAAGAGTGCACGCCAAGTCAAAGTGCGCAAAGTGCGTAAAGTGCGTAAAGTGCGCAAAGTGTGTACAAAGTGCGTTGAAAGTGCGTATAAAAAGTGCGTAAAAAGTACGAAAGTGTGCGCCAAGTCAAAGTGCGTAAAGTGCGCAAAGTGCGTAAACTGGATAACGTGCGCAAAGTGTGTAAAGTGCGCAAAAGGATTTGCACTTGATTATGGGTAAAATGCATTTGATTCTGGGTAGGGTTTGGGAGGTGATGAATTCAAATAAAATCTGTACCCCGCTATAAGTCATACTCAATATGATTATAAATCTAGATCTATATCTATGTCTATGCGTACTATATCATCTATATATCTGTACATAAATCTATCTATCTATATATATATACACGCTACATATATATATATATACATTTGACATATATATATATATATATGTCCTATAAACATACATCTACATATTCATTGACACCCATATATTCTAATACCCATAGAATCCCCACATATCTTTGTACCATCTTTGAAATCTTATGTATGAATATATTTAGTGAATATATATATATTTATAGTATAATATATATATATATATTTAATATCTATGATATAATATATGTTCAATAAGTAAATACATATATATATATATATCGATATATATATATATATCGATATATATATATACATAATATGTATATATATATGTAGTATATAATATGATATTATACAATATATATATATATATATTTGTACATAATAAATTGTATATATCTGTGTATATATGTACCCCTAACCTCACCACAAAGCCCTTCTGGGCCACCACTTTGTGGCCAATTCCCTGGCCACTGCTGCAGCGGCTGGACGATGGTGGCCGATCTCCTGCGATGCTTGGCGGTGCAAACAACGGGCAAGGTAAATTATGTATTATACCCCGGACCTTTTTATACTTATTATATGTTATGTATTCTAACTAATAAGTAAGATTACCCCATATCAGTATCGCCCTGAAACGACAACAACAACCACTCAACAAGCGAGCAGCGCGCTCACAAAGCAAATGAAAACAACAACAAGCATCAACACAACCACCACCAGCACCAGGGACAACAACAACCAAGATGTCAGATAATGATTTGAAAGACGAGGATGATGAGGAGGATGATGAGGAGGATGATGAGGAGGATGATGATAATGATGATGAAAAAATCAAAGTGATGGTGGCAAAGAGGCCAAGGATGATGACAATAACGATGGTTATAGGACAGAGCACAAGACAGAAAAGAGTCCTTGCTCACCTTCCATTGGTCAGTCCATTGGGCGTCGCAGTGGTGGCGGTCTCAAATTGTGCCATTTGCCAAAGCTCTGAAACCTTCATAGGTTTGGTACTGCTTTCGGCTGCCGCACGCCGGGAGCACATTGCAAATAGCCTTGGGCCAACAGTAAGTACACCTCTTTTCGGTGAGAAGCCTTGCCAGCTGGTGGCCAGCCCTCAAGCACTTCAAATGCTTTTGCCATGAGGGCACACTGCTTCATCCCAGAGCAGGAAGCTTGTCCAAGTAGAAAAGCCATAGTTGCATCTCTCAGTTGAAGCAATCTCCAATCCACAAACCAGGAATTAAAGATGGACACATTTTAGATTTTTACCTGGGCCCACCAAATTTGATCAATTTTGTGGCTTGCTTTCCAATAGATAGGTTTTTACCACATCCAGAAAATAGATACCCAATAACCCCATGAAGTGCAACATGTCCCATCATCAACCCAAAGATAATAATAGCAGCGGCGCAAGACTTCAATCACATTCCGCAACAGGAACATTGACATACAGGAATACAAAGAAGTCATTTCCCGATCCATGACTTAGCATTCTTTGGGCCAAACAATTAGTGGAAACCAAGGTCCCGTTAAATTTGAATGACATTTTCATAAATCCATTTGATCTTACAATGGGAGGCTAGGATGATTGGGAAACCGCTTAATATTTTTTGATGACACCGATTTTGTTAAAACCATTTCCTTGGGCATATTTGTATAAGCCCAGCCCACTCCCTTGCTGCACTCCTGTCTAGAGTAGTGTAGTGCAACCTGCCAGCACACGGAGTAGGGGGTAACATGTGATCGAAGGTAGCCGGGGGAGTGATGAAACATGAAGGATAATTCAATTGAAACCATTCTTTGTCTATGTTTGGGGGTAGATGTTCAGCTCAAAAAAAAATCATGTGTTTGAGTTGACAACTGTGCCATGATGGCAACTTCTCACAAAGTGGGGTCCAACAAAGCCCAGATGGGCCAACCAGAGCTAAGGAGAAGCCTTGAGTTTGCAATGACACGGTTCCTCACATTTTCGCCCCTCGTCGCTCAGCAGCATGTCACAGGGAGACCAGTGTCCAGCAATCCCAGAAATGACAATTTGGTGGGAATCTCCGAAAAATGAATTTTCAGGATCATGACGAACTATATATTGAAATTAAATCCCAACCTCAGGGAACATGGGACACATCCTAATCAAAATTTCCATGTGGGGATGGATCTCAAAATTTCCCTCAGATCTGGGACTATTGGACCAAGAACACCTTTTGGTCTGGAATTGTTACATCCTGGACCATCAAAACCAGCGCACGTTGCGGCTGGATGCCATTCAACGACCATTTGAGCTGCCAACCGATTTTCACAGCCTTTGTGTTCCAAACCATGGGTGGCTGAAGAAACTTTCCAGCTTGGGACTGATTCATCTTGCCATTGCCACTTTGGTCACCCTCCTCCTGTTGGATGCAAAAGAGCACATTATGCTCCTTTCAGGGTCTTTTTGTTTGGAATGGGGCCACTACTAAGTTTGCTTATATACCCAATAAGTTATGTTTATCTTGAATCCAAACTGACTTAATTGAACATCAACTTCACTACCCCAAGGGTCGACCTTGTATGCACACTACTGCAAAGCAATATCCTGTGCCATGCTAGCAGGAAAACTATTTGAACATATTTGAACTTGGTTCCAAATAATGAGATTGGATATTTCAACAGTTGGTTGCCCCTGCCTTCTCAAGAACCCAATTTCCCTCTGGATCTTTGGAGGCCTTGTGGTAACACACGCGGCAATTTTCCGGTTTGGTTTGAGATGCCAAGTGTAGATGTTCGGCCATAGTGCCATAGACATTGTCCAGAACACCATGGGTGTCAGCACCAACATCAAACGGGATCTCCACATCAGGGTCAATCTGAGATGGGTCCACTGGGGCCTCCTTGAACTTGGCCCGCCCAAACCCACAAAGCACCGACGATTCTTGCAGTGTGACCTCCAGAATATGGATCAAGATGTTTGGATACCCAGATAATTATGTAAAAAGTTTGGGAGGGATAAGATTGACATGACCCCAGATAAGTTGTAACTAAACTCCTGTCCAGCGACCTCTTGGCCAGTCTGATTCACAATCATTGGGCCGCCATTCTTGGTGATACGAAGTAGTGGCATGGTAGTCAATTTTTTCGCTGCCCGGGCATTGACTATTGGGACCTGAATCAGCACCTCATCAGGATCTGGGAGCGATGAGACATCAACAATGGATCCCGAGATGTCTTCAACCAAACGACGCTTCTTGGTGGGCAAGACGGCGGTGGGGTTTCCAGGTTTTGATGGATCGGTCTTCTTCTTGGAGACTGAGAGCCCTTTGAATTCTTTGACTGGGGGATTTCGACCAAGGAATTCTTCATAGTATGTTTTGAACTCAGGCTTTGATTCCCACTGCTTGACAATAGATTCAGGGATCTCCAGGGTGACAATCTGGCCATCAACCTGGGGTGTGGCAACAGAATCCAAAAGAATACTTAAAACATTGAGATACAATGAAATTGGAAAACATGCTAAGTTTAACCACCATTTTTGTAAGATATTTTGGAACTTACCCACCTTTCCATATGTGCATTTCTTCAACGCTGGTGGTTCTGGCGGTGCTTCCAAATGTTCAGCTGGTGGATCATCTTGAAGCCTTCAAACAGACAGGACGAAAGTAAACAGTATTTTATTTGTTACAGTAAATATAACAAAAGAGATTGGGAATCATATGAACCCTGGCCTCTCACATCCTGGCACATTGAGCTTTCCCTGCTGGAAAAGCGACACCAGCTCCGCAGTCCAAAACACTTCAGACCAATCCTTATGGTCTATGTCGGTGTAGATTGGAAGATAAATGGACGGTACATTCACCTTTTGCTCCATGCGCACAAACCCCTCAAAGACATGGCCCACATTGGGGCAGCAATCGACGACGACAAGGCCCATGGAGGATGTAAACGATACGCCATCCTGGACCCACTTTGGTTTAAATTGTTTGCCCCTCCACCAAAAAAATCTAGATAATGGGCAGACACACAGACAAACACATCAGGACAATAGCCCAACTCAAACAACCAATATGACCAAAATGATTCTGATTTTGGATATTAATTCTGATTCGATGTAAAAAGATTTTATTTATGTCCAGCCAATGATTCAACACCAAGTTTCAACCGCTGACATCAAGAGCTGCTCTGCAGCATCCCCCCCGATTTGCGCATACTTCTGCGCACCGTGCGGAGGCTGAATTGCCGTTGGCAAGGCAGTAGGTGAAAGCTCTTCCATGTGGATCATCTGCTTTGCTGGGGTTTGCTTTGCCTCCCCCACAGTGCGCCTCAATCTCTGAAGAGCTGAGCTCTTCCACATCCATTCATCCTTGTTGATGTCCAAAGAGCTCTGCAATGGGCTAATGAACCTTCCACCATACGCCATTGGGCGTTGGTCCCGCAAATCCTGAAAGAATGCCAGATTAATGTCAGGGAAAGACCAAGATATGTGAGTCAGAACCTTTAAGACACTTATAACTATAATAAACAGCTATTTCAAATGACAAGCACTAATTAAAACAAATGAAACAACATAATAACTAAGATCTGAACAATGACAAGGGTCTACCTTGGACTTCACATCGAAAAGGAGTTGGAACTGTGTGTCCACGGAGCACCCTGCAGATGAGAGCGCACGCACTAGCCCATATTCCTCAGTGAAAAGGTTGGTCTTGTACGCGAACTGGGGGTTCAAGAAGACTCCACAGCTAGTTGCCGGGTACGATGAGATGGTATGCCCCATCAGATGCAAAATGCATGGAGTGATCTCCGATTTCAGCAAGGATGGCGCAGAGTAATTGGCCACAAAGAGATACGCCTCGTTTCAGCGTTGTTGACATTTCAACACCAAGTAAGCCCATAGTGGCATTTTGAAACCTATTATAGGTTAAACATAATAAAAAACCATTTTTGAAATAGACAGGGAGTAGCAGGGGTGCGAAGCTGTTGGGACTGCATCCATTTCTGAACAGAATCCTCCACCTGCTGCTTCATGTTGATTGCTGTAGCACCATCAATCTTTTCAGGCCAAGCATCTGCAGCGACCTGGAAGGGAACCCCACCAAGAAACTGATTTTTGGAGAGGCTAGTCATACGAATGTCAAGCACAACAAGCAACAATGTTTGATAATTAATGTGTGCTTGGCAATTAGTCTTGGTCTACTAAGTGTTGTTCAAACTTTCGGGGCCTTTGCATCCATCCATTTGTTCACAGCATCCTTTGCCATTGAGAGCTTTTTGGACACCCATTCATTCTTCTGGTGGGCCAATCTGATCTCGTAACTGCTCATGCGGGAATTGAAAGCTGCCATGCACTTCTCATCATACTGAATCTCTTGGATCACTAGCTGTAGTGCACTGGAATCTACTGCACTTTTCGATGCTTCAAGTTCCCCCATGCTCACAGCTGGTCCTTTCTGTGGGGCCATGGAATTCAGGATGTCCATGATACCTGGTTGATGGAATAGGTTTTGGTTGAGTCAAACACCATATCCCCAGATCAAATGGGTTAAGACAGTAAGCCATTATGATGATCATTAAGTTTGAATGTCGAGATGCATGCATTTTCCCTTGGGACCCATGCATCCGATTTGGCTTCCACGGCGCTCAACAAATCCATCTCGAGGGTCGAGTCTCCTCTCTGCAGCCGGCCAAGGAACCTCAGTGAGGGGTGATATCAATGACATCAGAGTCATCAGAGTCTTGGTGTATATAACTGGGCCAGGGTGTGGGCTGTACATTTACTGTCACTGACTAAAGGTTGATACATTTTTGATAACGCCATGCCATATAACCTGAATTAACTAAGGGGCTTCTCACGAAGGACAGGTTCCACATTTGGAACTTGCACCGAGAGCTCATCCACCAATGAGCCTTGCTGAGCAGGGCACAACATGACAAACAAACAATGATTTTTTCTGTGGTATGAAAGCTTTTACTGTGGCATATCCCTTTGATGGAAACCAGTAAGGGATCATTACCAAGGGAAGTACAAAGTAAACATTTTGAAGCTAACCACTGCAAAATATCAAGGAACATGCCAGTGCACAAACTGAACTCTTCTCTTCCAGTTGGGATCGGTTGAGCTTCCTTCGTTCGTCGGGTTTCAGTTTGGCCCAACTGTTCGCCACCATCTGAAAGGTGAGTAAGCAACTTTCCTTGGAATTTTTCAAACGGGTAAGCCATGGGGAACCCTTACCAGATCGAGCAGACTTGTGGTTGAAGTTCACGAGCAGCTTTTTCGATGTGAGACTCTCATCAGAATAGGGGCAACCTCAGCAGGCAGGCTATTGAATTTTAGTAATGATTGACTCAATTGGGATTATCATAATATCATATGGCCATATGGTGGGGTGAAATATGCTGCAAATAGTGCCAAATTCAACACAGAACAAGTAGGAAAATCATAAGATTCAACGGCTTAGGGACCATCCCATCCATAAAGAGAAACACAATCGAGGATCACATCTCTGCAGTCTGGGGTAAAATTCAAGATGTTTGTCACCGACTGGTGCTTTGCCCCCAGCAGCCGGTCGGGCTTTGCAGCAACTGAGTTCCTCACTTCTTGGCTGTTGGGGTGAGTTGCAAGTCCCACCAAAATAGCCCATTGTTAAGCAGTAACAGATATAATAGGAACTACATAAAAACAACCAGACATGCTCCCTGAAACAGTAACAGTGTACTTTTTAAATAAAGTCCTGATGCCATGCTGGATTCGCACCCATTGTTGGGGATGTGAAAGTTACACAGGCAGGCGCACGAACCCCAGATGAAATGATACCCAATTCATGTTGAGGATCCCTTGTCACATATTGACATCTTGTATCAATTTCACACTCAGTAGGTGATTTCCCCAAAACAAATCAACAATCTAATTTTAGTAAGCATTGAAGGGTAAGATTTGTGTAGAGAAAGCTGTTGTTATCAAGTATCCATTGCTTGATCACACTTCCGGCATCCACGGCTTTGCCACCAGCAATGTTGCTTAACGACACTACCCAAGAAATGGCTGATGGAGATTTCCTGATGTTTCCTCGTGTCGATTTCTTCATGTTGAAGAACCTGGGCATGTGGCAGATTCCCATGTCATTATCATAAGATCATTAACGGGATTATTGGGAAATTGAAAATTCATATAAGCCAAAAAATGAGGAATGCCGCTACGAAACAACTCTTCTTGGCGGGTTTGAAGTCGGATATGTTTGCACTTGATGGACTGTAGCCCCTTGAGTAGCACATCTGGAACCTGCTGCAGTCTCTAAGAGGTTTCAGTCTAAAAAAAAATTAATGCAGGCTAATTTCAAACATTATATTAAAAGAACTTTAAAAAATACAATGGGAATATGAGGAAACAAACTAACCATTAAGGGAGGCCCTAACAAACCAGGTCCTTGAGGTTCAGCTGGTTGCAGGCCACCACAAAAGCCATAGCAGTTGTCACCCGAGCTGCACCCTTCAGGTAGCCAATGGCTCCGCTTGGAATGGCGCCTGTGTTCCCAATGCTGCTGTCCTGCAAGCAGTCAAGGGGGAAAACTGTGTGTGACAGGCTGTCAGGTTAATCCCAATAGATTTGGTACAATTGTAAGGCTATCAGGTTAATAGCCACCATCATAGATTGATTTAAGGCTATTTGTTCAAATGATTTGATACCACATTGGGCCCAAAGGTTATTTTCACTTCCCTTCCTTGATTCGGATGTTGATGGGTTCGTCATGGGTGATAAACCCATCTACTGCGTAATTCCACATCAACTTGCTCGCCACGTCCAGCGTCGGGGGTTCTCGTAAACTTGCCCAGTTCTCACCAGAGAAGAGATGGAAAGGTACAACCATGGGCTCTTGTTGGTCCTCTTGCCCTAAGTTAGTTGGAGCATGGGATGAATTTGATATGCAGCCATGCCAAGCAAATGAAATCTTCCTAAGTTAAGTGAGTCTATATTTGGTGTATGGATTTTCTATGATTTTCTACTGTTTCTACATTATGTATAATAACAATTCAATAATGCCAAACGGATTTCCGGTGAGTATACAAACTAGACATGGTGCCAAGGCACCAGGAAAGCAACAAGGGATTGGATAGTTCTCAATGTATTTCTCAGAATCTAGCTTCGGCACCATTTTCTCAAGAACACTGGCAAGCTCCACACTGCGCGATGCTGCAACTGGGAAGGTCTGGTGCAGGTACTGCCTGGGCCCACCAGCACCTAGGAACAGGCCAATTAGAATAGAAAGCAATGACAAAATGCAAAGATTTCCACATTTCCAAAACAAAGTTGAACCTCTGAAAAATATAATCCAGTAATTAGTCAGGACACCTTTGATAAGATTCAAGATGACCTCAGTCAACCTCTCATCTGGGGTGGCATCTATCTCAAAAGCTGTGGAGGTCCCAATTGCTGACTCCCCTCCCGACCCCACTGCATGCATCATCGCATCTGCAGCTGCCACATCCTCCGAGGCAAGGGATATGGTCTTGCGATCATCAACTGGATGCTTGACGGCGAGGTAGAGGTTCGACGTCGATTGAGAGTCAAGGTCCTGAGGATAGAAAGACAGGACAACACTGATGAACCAATAGGCAATGGAAAAATTGAACATGTTATGCCATGATTCCGAAATGATTGTAACCAAGATTTATACAGACAATAAGATTCTTATCGTCTATGTGTATTTCACTGTCAAACGAACATCCATATATTAATATATATTATAACATAATATAATATAATATTGGGTCAAAACACAATATAACATATTGTAAGTGGGTGTCCTCATTGTCCATGAACTCATCGTCGTCCACGTACGATGCCTCCGTAGGAGAATGTAGCTGAATGATGTCCCACTACCAACAGGGGTTTGAATTTCCTTATGGGTATTTTTGAAGGTGCCCTGTTTTAGGTGTTTCAGGGTCCAAAAAAGGGCATTGAAAGTTACCAATTAAGGATTAATAAGTATACCCCGGTGAAATCATAACATGTATAATTTTGTGGTCATTTAAAAAAGTAAGAGTTATGAAATACATGCAAAGATTCAGGGTTTGGTGAGTTACCCGAATCCATGGCACTCACAACTCACAACGGATTTGATCCAAAACAGCTTCCCCGCAGAACTCAATATCTGATTTTGCTATGTTGACTTCTGCAGGTTTCAACTGAAATTGTTCTAAAATCCAGGGTTTGTGGGATGTTCAGCAGAAGTCAAGATGCTGAATCTTCAATGGCACTTCTGCTGGCCATGCATCATCCCTAGGAATTTCTGAAGGTTTCAATTGAAACCTTCAGATCTTTATGATTGGATTTGACATGTTGACTTCTGCAAAAAAAAATCATGTTTTCTTTCGAGGCATTGATTTCGGTTCCAGAAGGCCTCAGATTTCCGAAGGTTTCGGATGAAACCTTCAAAAATTTCCCTTTTTCTGACCCCAATTCAACGTCTGGTAAAAAAACTTACTTTTTTTTCAGACCCCAAATCAACGCCCGGTAAGAAAAACTCATTTTTTTCCACATTTGTCTGAGGTCCAATGGAAGAGTGGAGATTCAACTCCTTTTGCGCTCCTCTTCAAGGAGTGCCTTGCAAATGACATTGCAAAGAGGGTCGGGATACTCCTGGGCTGCTCTTGAGCGTTTCACCCCCCCCTCGCTACCAGAAATAATTTGATGGGGGTGGTCCCCCGGACAAAAGTATCCATCTAGGGCTTTCAGCAGCTCGGGGGAATTGGTCATGACCCTGGTGCGTTTCTTCACAGGGGTCTTAGTCTCCAAAGATACAAGGCCAAATTGGCACTGATCGAACTCCGCAATCTTCACAGAGCTATGGCGTTGCACATGCTTCACCTTAGATAGCAGCAGGCATTCGATGTATGTATGTATGCATGCATGTATGTATGTATGCATGCATGCATGTATGTATGTAAGTGAGTATATGTGTTTAGGTATTAATAAATGTATATTTATATGCATATATGTATGTAATGCATATTAGCCTGTACGAATGCAACGCAATGCAATGCAACACAATGCAATACAATGCAATACAATGCAATGTAATGTAGGTATGTAGGTATGTAGGTATGTAGGTATGCACGTATGTAGGTATGCAGGTATGTAGGTATGTAGGTATGTAGGTATGTAGGTATGTAGGTATGTAGGTATGTAGGTATGTATGTATGCATGTATGCATGTATGCATATATGCATGTATGTATGTATGTCTGCATGTAGTATGCATGCATGCATGTATAAATGTTTGCTTTTATTTGTAGATATGTTTGAATGCAAATCATATTACAATGGATTTGACAATGAAATAGGGACCACCAGCGACAAGCAATGGAACTTATTTTGTATGTATGTGTGTATGTATGTATGCACGTTATAAGAAAACAAACAAAATAGATAAAACATGACATGTGTATATATATATATATGTATGATGATGATGATGACGATGATGATTGTGTTTTTTTCTAAGGCTTTGGGTTTTGCCCCCATATGAACATGGCTTGTCTCCAAATACAGGGGGGCCCCAAACTGTAAAAAAACATGACTTTTTTTGGAGATTTGCCCCCCCCCCTTTATTTAGATCATGCCCACATACAGTCATACATCCCTTCAAATGAAGAAACATACATCATAACATTTCATTCTTCTTTGGATTTGACTATGGTAAGGTCACAAGCAAATGCCGTTGAGTGACGCTATCCCTGTTCCATGCCAGGGACCCATGAGGGTGTTCAAACCCAAATATGTTGCCACTGAGAACTTGATGGTCTGCAAACCACATTGAAGTGTCTATCAGATCACATGCTTCCTTCAGATTCAGCACCCTTTTGGTTGATGCCACCCTAGCCCAATTCGAGTGCTGTAACTGAGACACCCAGGTGCATGGTGGGCTCAGAAACAAAACCAAGGGTTGCAGGATGGCCAAATCCTGAAACACTGTTCTGGCTAGCGTATGGTTTCCTAGGTCCCAGAAATGACGAATGTCATAGCTTCGTGTGGATCGGCCACCTAGTTGAATCATTTTTGGCTGCAGTCTTGGCAAGGAAAACAACTCCCATAGCGTATCTGGCTTTGCCTTGTCGTTGAATGGCTTCAGATTTTCCAAAATTCCCTTCAAATCATGGAAAGGGTGTTCACACTGACTTGGAATCTTTGAAGCTGCTTTTTTGAGGCTCACATCATCATACTTCAAAATAGCTGCCCCAGGAGTTGATGTAGACTCAGGTGTCATTGATGTAGTAGCTTCCAACGCATTTGACATAGCTGAATCCGAAAAAAGGGGTCCATCATCATCAGAAGGCAATTCCGAACCCCCCTGAGCAGCAGCTGGGGCATCTGATTTCTGGACCCTTGCAGATTTGCGAGGTGGGCAACGCTGCTTCTTGGGAGGCCTGGGAACCTTGCTGCCCCTGGCGGCTTTGGGGAGGAACTGTTCCCAGATATCGACCCCTGGCCCTGAATCATCATCTGGCAGAGCCAGACGACTCAGAGACATGGCTATAATTGGCTAAAATAGCTTCTAGATGTGACAATTTGATGATTTGATGATTTTATCCAGTCTGATGTACATAAAATTAAAGATATTAAGAAGTAGGCTGGGATTGTTGAATTTCACACCATTTTTGATTGGCCTTGAGTGATCTGCAAACATCTGAGCAGCAAAAACCTGCAGGTCATGTTTGTTGACGCAAGCTCAATATCCTGATTGAATCAGATACCAACAAATTTTCCATTACATACTCACTCAATTCCTGCCCTAGACCGTGTTTTGAAAAGAACGCAGCAGCATGCAGCTATTCAATTCATTTTTCCACATTGAAGCCAGCTCCCATTGGGCTTCTGTCAGTTTGACCAGATGTTTCCACAATCTTTGCTTGACAATTGGACACAAGTGGATGTCCTTTCCAACTGAAAGATGATATCACCTTTCGCAAACTCCCCCGGCATTCGACTTCGCTAAATGCTCGAAAAACCCAAAGTTGGTCATTGGTACCTACTTACAAGGCCGTTTGTTTTTCAGACAACCCCTCCCACGTCCACGTCCACGACCAGGAATCTTCGTGGAAGGCTTCTTGACCATGGCCTTTGCCTTCTGCTTTGCACTGGCCTTGGGTGCCTGGGCTGCAGCAGCAGGTGCATGACCTCTTTTCTCAAGGAATTTCTTCAAGCCAACATCATTGTCCCCAGCAGCAGAACACATGGACCAGAACTCACGCTCAACATTATCTTTCCACATCTCTTTGGGGACATTCTTGTAGAACATCAATCTCCGACATTCCCATTGCTGTTGGAAATCTTCAGATCCAAGCTTGGTTCTCCCAGCAAAGGTAGCACGGGTTGGTAGGTCTGGCAGAACCCCTGGGTCAACCATTGGCTCAGCCCCTGCCGGCACGACCACTGGATCAGCTTGCTCAGGTGGTGGCACCGCAACTGCAGCCACCGAAGATTGCTCCACAAAGGGGCATTCAGCTGCGCCACTCGCCTCTTGAATCTGGGCAGGAGGGTTCTTGGGACGGCGCCCCCTCCTCTTCGCTGGCTGGTTTGGATCCTTTGGAGGTCTCCCCCTCTTCTTTTGTGGTTGGTCATCAAGATCCTTCTTCACAGGGGCTACTGAAACAGCTTGGACTGGTCCAGGTGCAAATCGTTCCCACCTAATTTGGAGAAATCAAGAAAATACAAGAAACATTGGGCATACCCATAATGATGTACATTCCACCCACTATCATAAAAGTGTTTTCTAACACAGGGTAATTTTGGATCAAACATTTTCGAATTCATCCAAGAAACCCCTCAGGATTGGGTGCCACACATGGGTTCCTTACATCTGACGAGAACCACCACACAGGTTCACTGATCGAGGGCCACTGCTGGTTGACATTCGCATCCTTTGTTATTGTTTTGATTGGTCAGTGGTGAAAGGAAACCACGGAAAATTATTATTGTTGGAAATTCCCCAAACTTTTTTTGGAAATAAAATTTCCCAATTCTCTTGCCCCAAGCTCCACCCATGTACGAAGACACTTGGCCGCTTTGACAAGATCCCACGGATCTTACTCCACCATCTCCGCAGTCTTGAGAAACCTGGGCTCAGGTATTGGTTGATGCCAAGGGTATCTTGTGCCTGGAGCTGTAGTGACTCGGCTTTGGAATATTATGGGGCTTGTGGGAAGAAACTTGATTAAACAGCTCATTATCTGGCGTTATGATCAACAAAAGTTTTTTACAAAATCTGGGCCATGTAACTCTTTGCGAGCTCGATCTGAAAGCATGTTGCGGGGCAGGGCTGTCAAAGGCATGACAAGTTTCTCAGCAAACTTGGCTGGGAGCAGTGTCAATGGTGGTTGGGACAACGATTGGCTGTTGACCAGGTGCTTCAGCAATAAAATGCAGTCAGAGCCCACATGTTGGTACGTCTCCTTACAAAGATGATATTGAGAAATCTGGGTTTAAACTGATTCGACCCCCAAAATAAGTTCTATTAAGTGTAGTAGGTAGGAAAAAGTGCGAAGAGGTTGAGAACATGGCACCAAGTTTCATCCGGGATCTCTGTCGGGGTCCATGAATCCCCAGACTTGTCATCATAGAGTGGCAGGTCCTAAGTCGCAGTCACACATTGTTATTGTCACCCCACCATGTCTACCCAGCAAAGAAAAATAGGACCATGAGTACTAAATTTTTTTTGGTGCAAAACTATAAGTGTCAGATCGAAGGATGAATCTCCAACAGTGGTTGACACTACTGGTCGATTTGGGGCCCTTGACCAACCCACTCATGTAGATGTCGTACTGATCATAGTAGGCCTTCCAATTCAGGCTGCCTGTGAGAATCTCTGCCCTGAGTTCTCGCTTCCGAGATGGCTTGATCTTCTGATGAATGATGTTGACAAAGTCCTATAGGGTGACCCACATGGAAATCAAAAGAGATAGCAATCAAGCAATGTGTCACTGAAGGCTGTTGAACGCAACATTTTCAAAATATTCAACCCCTGCCACTCTCCTGTGGGGTTTGGATAATGTCAGCTGACCCAAATGCTGATGTGCAAATCGAAAGGCGCTGGTCTACCGGCCCATGCGTGTGCCCAACCTCTCCAAAGATGTGGGTCACCGACCTGAACCTTGGCTGGAATCAAGAGCAAAAATTATATGGCACCAATGGGCTTGGCTGGGGTGATAAGATAATTGGGTTGTTTACATATATCAATGGCTATAAGTTTATTTCATTGCTGTGGGTTATATAATGTTATATAATCATATCAATGACTAGAAAATGATTTGATTATTGTGGGTTATATAATGTTATATAATCATTGAATATATATCCATATCAATGATTATAAGTTTATTTGATTGTTGTGGGTTATAATCACATTCATGATAATATCAAATCCGAAGAAAATTGACGAAATTGGATAAAGGACCGGCCAGTGATGACGGCCGTTGCTGATGCCTTTGCAACTATTTGGTTGCGGCCCTCTCTGACGCAATTGTCAGTCTGCAGGGTTGGCAATCCTACTGCAATGGAAATACAAAGCAATTCCATAACTACATATATAAATAGCTATTTATTATCATGTTAAAATATCAAACATTTTCAGCTTTAGTAAGCAGTGGGCCTCTATGCAAAGGTGCGATGGCATGGCCACACCACGTGCATCCAAGATTTCCTTTGCCTGGTCAAGTGCCCGGAGAATGCATGTCACCTCTGTCGAACTGTCCTTTGGGACATCAGGTTCCAACACAAAGTAGCTTTCAACTACCTCAGAGGTCAGACTAGGAGGGGGTTCAGCTTCCAGCTTGTAAACATTTTGATTAAAAAAGCACCCTGACCAGAAAAATGTTTTCTAGTGCCAATTTCAAGATACTCCCCAAACTATGCAGCCCAAGACATGGATTTGTGGTCTCCAAACACCAGATAGGCTTTTCGGGTTGATGGAATTCAAACGAGGATATCGGGTCTTCGATTGATCCAGCCCATCAATGTCAAGCTTAAGAATGCAAGCACTGCTCCCACCCTGCCCTGCAGCAGTTGAGATTTCACTCATGGTGTTGAGCCGCGACTGAGCACTCCTGTAGTGTCTGACATTTCGGATGTGTTGGCTTTGAGCATGTTCAAGCTGATCTCGTTCATTCTGAAGTGTGGTCTTCCGGATTCTGCGTGTGAACTCGCTGCACTGAGTGCACCTAACTTTGTGGAGGTAGACCCAACACAATATTCTGTCACAATTTGTGTACAGATCCTAGGCATATGTTATATTAGTCCATGGGAAAAATGTTAACTGTTAATCAATACCATGACACCTTGCATGCTGACTGGTTTCCCTGAATTGGAGCAAACCCTTCCAGCGCTCTTCATACACAAGGGAGAAGCAACGGCTCTTGGCCAAATCATCACGGGTGTCACCATTTCCACTGCCCCACAACAAGTATAGCTCATAGAAGGCTTCCATGCTCATGTGTTGCAAATGGCGAGGCTGCATGCCACCTTAGTGGGTATGACTTTCATTGCCCTTCCAAATATTTGAAGTTGCTAACAACCTACTTGACAGTGTCCAGCCATTAGATACATATTATGCATATACACAATATATACATATGTTTTATTGTGGTTTCATAGAAATAAAAAAATCCAAGAACAAAACAAAGCTGAGATTCTATCTTTGGGCACCCCATTCATGAGTTCCAGCGCTGCTACGGGGCTAGTTTGGCTGAACGTCTTCGCACTGTAATCCACATCCCCTCCAAGGAGCGATTTCGGCAAGTCAGATTCAGCAGCTCCTCGGACTGGCAAAGGGAAGGGTTTCAAACGAGTTCCAGCTTTGGATGGTTTGTTACACAGGGGTCAACAACCCAAAAGACTATCCTGAACTACTTTGTTTATCCAAAGGGCCTGGGATGAATAGACCAGATGATGCAAGAGCAGCACCACTGACTTCTTCAACGGGAGCTGTCTCAGCTAAAGGTTCAGCCTCAGGAACTTGTGGTCATTGATTCATTGAGAATCTAAATCCTTCCATTTTTCTTCATGTGGTAAAATCAGTGTCAATATGAAATTAGACTAATAGAAGAACAGGTACCAGATTAAAGTAGACATACGCCATGAACGCATCAACGGAGGCACTCTTGTCAGTGGGCTGCTTCCCATTGAACTTCCGCATGTCAGTTGGAAGGGAATTGGTCGCCAATCCATTTGCCAACCTCTTGACCTGACGGTTTTTACATTCATGCCAAAAGAATACAGGAGATTTTCAGAAGTTTTTACTAATTCATTTATTTCAGGGGTTGGAAAAAAAACTTTTTGGGGCTGGGTCAAAGTGGCCCTCTTCTCGTTCACACCCAGAAGAATGCACCAAGCCTTCTCACAAACATCGAAGCCACCGATGGCATACTTGAGATTGCTGGAGCGCGTTTTCTTTGAAGCAGCCTTGCCAACAGGTCAACGAAAGAGTTTCATAACATGTGGGGTCTTACACTGTGGGCTGCCCTACTAAAGGAATTTGGTTTATAGCTATGGGCAATTGGGTTTTATACAAATTTTGAACTAGGGGGCCCCACCTTCTACTAATGCCCAATACTCTCAATATTGGCATTCCCCCATACAACTTGTCCAAGAAACTTCAGGTAACTCAGAGAATGCACTGTCGGGCACAAGAGTGTCCAGTTTTTGCAGCAAACCAAGAATGTACTGGTTCAGATCATGCCCAGCCATGGACGACATCTTCTCCCGCATTTCCTCAGAAGGAGAATGAAGAATGGGGTAGCAATTGCCTGCAATTGTTTTTTTTGGGGGGGCTTATTTTGCAAAGAGGAACAAATTTGATAGTGAATCAGCATACGAGAATCCTTAAGGAATCTCATCCTGGAATCACCAGTTCTGAATTGGGAGCAGCATCCCTTTCTGCAGCAATACAGCGGCTTCTCTGGTGGTGTCCTTGTACTGCCCACAAGAATACCACCAAAAAAGAGCATACTTTAATACCTGATTCAGCTAAATTTATCCAATATTTGTGTCTTCAACCATTTTCCAGGGATGAAGTGAATGGGGGCCATTGAAAACAATAAAAAACATCCTAATTTGCACTGATGCACTCTAAGCTGGGAAAGCGTTGGACTCTTCGGGCAGGTGTTTTGCTCTCCTCATCTTCAACCCCAGGCATCATCATTGACATTTGAACGGTCATACCAATGCTGGGCCCATCATCATCAGATGGTAAATCAAGTGGCATTGCGACAGCCACCCTGCACCTTGCTACTCCTTGAGGCTGAAATGGCCAGCCGATTGGCGGTCAGACTAATGTTCGCTCAGGCCTTTCTGGAATGGGCCAGGAGGAGTGACCAGTGTGACGGCTAATGGGTATGTGATTTTGCCTAGCTGGCTAAAAGCACATTATATAAACAGGATTTTTGTTGCGACGGCATTGGGGGATTACATGCTTCCTCGATCTTTTTGATTATATCCCTGACCCACATATATATCATAATTCATCAAGTCTACATGACGCGGTTTTATGCTCCAAGTCAAAATAGTGGCACGTTGTTGAATGCATAGTAGGTGATAACAATAACATTAATAATAATATTTTTTGGAAAATCACAAGAGGATGTTCTGAACGCTAACACGAGTTATTTATTGGATGGCATGCTGATATCCCAATCACCCAATTGCGAGCCTTTAAAATTTCTCACTGAATGGTGATTTCTAGGAAACTCCAAAATTAAGATAATGAAGGGCCCCAGGGTAAATTTCAAACATTGCATCTTGCTGACAAAACCATTGGCTGCTGACCTCTGCGATCATGCAGAGTGGAGGATGGCTGCCTGACCATGGCACTTGCAAAACATGGGAGGCTTGGACAAACCACAGAGAGGTGAGGAATGTCCCGACAATCTCAAATGAGACTTGGGATTTGTCCCGCTTACACAATTGATCCTGGTCTACATCGATGCGACGAACAACTTTGATGGTGAGCGTGCCAATGCGGCTATGCTGCTGCACCAGTCCCTGATCGATTGGATTTAAATGACGAATGCTTCGAGCATCCTGTGGGTGCATGTCTGGGGACGATTCCAACATACCAACTATGATGACATGAACGAGATGGACACAGAGCTTGCTTGAACAGTTGCTCAATTTGGTCGGTAGGGTTGTGATATGAGAATAATTCAGAATAATATTAGTACTAATATTGATGAGTAATATATATATATATATGTGGTTGAAGATAATTACTGTGGAAGAATGGGTATACAAACTGCTGCAGCTCCACCCAACTGCTGGCCTGCGAGGCAGCTGACACAGAAGGAGATGGCCACCAGCGGCAGCCGCAGTCAGTGGCCAGTGGTGGCCCTTTTGGGGGCCCTTTTGGGGGCCCTTTGGGTTTGGATTGTGGGATAGGAAATCATAATAATAATAATAATATTAATAATAATATTAATTGGGAATTTCCAGGAGTTTAATGCGACAGTTTAAATACCAATTTTGGAGTGATATGATGTAAGTATGTCATGAAAACCCTGACCCCAAATCAAACGCAATCCACCCCAAATCAAATGCAAAACCTTCTAGGTTTTATGGTAATTATAGCTGTAGTTAATGGGGGTTGTAAACCACCTTGCAGGTTCAGCATGGTTCAGTTCTTCTTGCCAGGTACAGCAGGTTCCCTGCACCAAGGCGTGTCAAGTTTTTCATCACTGAAGTCTACGTCATTCGACGTCATGACATGTGGCAATGGAAACAATTTGGAACATGTCCTAGAAATGGAGTCCCATAGCTGGGAAGAATCGTATAATATATATATATTTATATATTGACATGTTTGGTTACCGAAAGGTAGTTCCATGAATCATCATTAATCATCATTATGTATCATTATGTAATCATCGTTATGTAATCATCATTATGTAATCGCCATTATGTAATCATCATTATGTAATCATCATTATGTAATCAGCATTAATCATCATCAATCATCATTATATAATAATCATTAATCATCATTGATCGTCATTATTGATACTGATATAGTCAGGGTTAGCTTGAGATTCTTTCAAGCACAGGTGCTCGTTAAAGGCCGTGCTCAGATTTGGCGGTTCTTCACATCTTTCATTGCGCCCGTTTTCCTGCTACCGCCCAATCTCTTCAGAACGTCAGTGTCAACACATGTTGGTTTTGTTCAACCTTAGAAATGGCATTATGACGATGACGATGACGATGACGACGAGGATGAGGATGATGTTGTTGTTGATGATGATGATGATTGCACTTGACAATCTTATTTGCCCAGATGGGTTGAAACCACCAGACAACTCTCCAGCTTCAACCACCGTGAGCAGTTTCTTACATCATCCCAATTGTTGTATTTTGTTCTTCTTGCCTGGGGCTTATACTGCCATTGGCTCACACATATTATCATATGATCAAATATTACATATAGGGTATACAAATTGCATCCCCATATCAACATGGTATAACTAATTATATGGTTTGTCACATTTTTTAAAACATATGTTTGACATATTTATGATATCTTGTTCACACTTATCAAAATGTAACATGTTATCACGTATTTATCACAGTATCACCTATTATCATACATTATCACACATGATCACATTTATAGTCTCATTATTGTTTCCCTATATGGAGGTTTCCCAAAATGGGTGTACCCCCCAAATCATCATTTTTTATCGGATGTTCCACTATGAACCCTCCACTTTGTGCACCCCCATTGGAACCCCCGCCATATTTGCTGCTTTTTCTGAGGTGAACTTCGACTATTGGTCCAGCCCTCGATCTGTTCCTTGGCGCGGCGATGGCCCGCGCCTCTCAGAACTGGGGGAGCGCTGGGATACCGAGAGCGAGATGTCTGAGCTGGTCTCGGCCAAGTTCTTTGCGTCGCTGGAAGCGAAAGGCCCAGGGACCCAGGGACCCAGGGACCCAGGGCCCGGGTGGCAAAGGGGGGTGGTTTCTGTTGGATTTATAGCTGCTAATTAGTTGGATTTAGGGGTGATATATGGTGATATATGGTGATTTAGCTATAGTTGGGGTCATAAACCGACCAACTTCTAGAACTTGGGGGCCCCTTCTTGGGTCTGGGTCAGCAGTGAAGGCCTTGGAAAGTTGACCATCCAATTGTCGGTGTATCCAATGTCGATGCAACCCTTATGGCGAAACGAAGGAATATCATGGGGATTTTTCATGATTTTTCCATAATTCACCATCCAAAACCGGGTTAACAAGTCAAATGTGTCATTAAAGATACCTCTGTTGATGGGTTATTGTAGGGGATTATGCAAACTGATTTACCCGGGAATATTTTGACCTTACAGAAATATTTACTAACCAACCAGTATCATTAGGGGTAGGGGTATTTTTCATGGCTCAAATGGTTAGTCTCCCACAGGGGGTTTCCTGGGTGATGATATGTCATGATACATGGACGGTTCAACCATCACCAGTAGGGGAATACAGTGGGCCATGATGGCCATGAGAATTTACTGGTCAACCATGGGGATTTATCAGCTTGCAATGGAGATAATTTGAGAATATTTGAGATATATAGGCCTAGTGTATTCACATGGCTGCATCCCACTTTGTCTTGTGTCTCAAGATGTCTCAAGTAACGGGGTTCCCCATGTCCATGTTATTGGCTATGTGTTGATGGGGAACCACCCATATCTGGTTTAGCCGACTGGCTGAGTAGATTACAGTGTTCTTTGATTTTTGTTGGCATACATGGGCACAACTGTACTAATCAGCTAAGAATTTCATTCGCCAAACACAACAATATTGGTGGATATATTTCATTAACCAACTATTACAATGTCAACTCTGGACTAACAAACACCCGGCTGCCGGCTGTTTATTGGCGGGGTACCATAAAAAAGTGCCAGATTCTCACTCTTCGGGGAGTAGCCGCCCATATTAATAAACCCATGGCTTTAGCAAACTCCGAGGTTGACATTCCCACCGTGACATTCCCAGGTTGTTTGAAGTAAACCCTCTGGTACTCCAACACAAACCGCGAAGTGGTGAAATCCCGGCATTTTAAATAGCTACCCGGCCTGGTAAACATATAAAAAACGATGGAACATAACCATGCTATTCATGGGTAAATCCACCAACTAAATACTGCTTGGTGGTTTGGAACATGACTTTTATTTTTCCATATTTTTCCCATCATATTGGGAATGTCATCATCCCAAGTGACGAAGTCAGATTTTTCAGGGGGTATACCACCAATTAGAAATCAACTATAAATCACCATTTTCCATAGCAAACTGTTATAAATTCACTATAAATCCACTATAAATCCACTATAAATCACCTATTTTGACTGGGCCATTTTCAAGTTCGCAAACTGTACACGTTTACCGTAGGCCGGGTCAATCATCGGATATCATCGGCCCATTTCGCGTAAAAAATCTCAGAGAAGAACAGCTGGGCACGGCACGGTGACTGGAACCATGGAATTTTGAATGACTTTCCATATATATATTGGGAATATAATATATATATATATATAATCATCCCAACTGACGCACTCCATCATTTTTCAGAGGGGTAGGTATACAGACAACCAGGCCATGAAATCAGCTTGATCTGTTCATCCTAGGGCGTATGGTGTTTTACCCAAAGAAAATCCTGGAACATGATGGAATGTACTTAAAGATATGTTCATGAATTGGAGACCAGTGTCCATAGAAATCTAAACCCAACTGATTTTTTAGCCTCTTCAAAACAGCCATCTCACGTTTTTTTTTGCCACGCTTAAAACAAACAGCGGTGCCAGTGCCGCGGTGCCGCGCCAGGCTTCAGCATCATCAGTATCAAAATCGTGGAGAAAGTGGGTGGTTTGAACGGCAGCAAAATCTGCATGCAGATCGTGGTGGTGCGACGCATCACCATTTTACTCCTGCGCTTCTTTTTACCCTTGAGTCTCTTGCCGGAAAGAAAACGTGTATAGAAAAAAAGGACCATGAGAACTTAACTTGATGCCTGATAGAAATTTTTAGTGTGTTCGAAAGTGTGTTTTTGTCCTTAAGTGTGTCTGGGGAAGATGAGGGGATTTTGTGGGAAGATGATTGCTTGATGTTCTTGTCCGCAATTGGTGAGGGGAACAGTGGAATTTCAACTATTCTTTATTCCCATGTTACGATTGCTGGAGTAGTTGCATCACCATTTTTCAATGGGCAATACATTGATCAGGGTTCTTCATTTTACCCTCTGGTAATTTAACATAGCTATTGAAAAATATTATAATGGATTTTCCCATTAAAAATAGTGATTTTCCATAGCTATGTTAGTTTACCAGAGGGTATATCATTTATCACTAGTCTCATCCCCAATTGGTAAAAACCTTCCCTATTTCTTTGATTAGAATGACAGTCGTTCGATCCACGCTCGAATTGCTCGTTAATTTTTGGTTTCATGGCTTGGCCGTCTTGGCCGCTGGTGGTTTCAAAGATGGAATGATTTCTTCAATGACTTACCCTCTGGCTATGACTAACATAGCCATGGTATAGATGGCCCATAGAAATAGAGGTTTACCTATTAATAGCATGGTGATTTTGCATGGCGAACTGTTAAATAACCAGATGGTATTTTGGAAAACTGGGCAGCATTCGAAGTTTCAGTAGGTTGCTATTAATACATATTTTTGTTGACAAAAATCCACCAATCAACTCGTGTTTTTTTTGACAAACGGGTCTCTGGTAAGCAAACGTGGCTGGGAAATCCCCGAACTAAATGGTGGTTTAGAGCTGGATATATCATATATATATATATAAATTGGTGGATATATGATGTTATGGATATTATGCTTGCGGCCTGCCAGGTTTTCTTCTCTTCATCCCCTTCGCTGGTTTTTTCATCCCCATCGAGTTGGTGATGCCTCGCGTGGCGACGGGATTCATTTCTTTCTTGTCCCTGCAGGCTGACTGGTGTACTGCTTGTAGCGTTGGATCCAACAAAAACATGTGTTGTTGGGGGATCAACCAATGAATGGTGCTGAAACATGGTGAAACAGACAAGACAATACACAAAACATATGCCTTTGTTTCGAGGAACAGGGAGATTTAAGTGAGAAATATCATATTGTGAACTTGCATGTGAACGCAGTGGCAAAATAGAACGGTGAGGTTGCTGATGACAACTGTGAGTTAAGCAGCACGCATTGGGAATTTGAGGAACGTAGAACCCTACATTTTCCCAAACACCAAAGCGCTGGGAGTTCAGGATATCAGCTGCCAAGTACGGGAGCAACCTGTCAAATATTGGGATAAATCATGCCAGCTTCTCTTAAATCGAAGCCATAAACATTCAGGCATTTGTATGGATTTGTGGGACTAAGATCTCCAAGAAAAATAGCTATAGCTAATGCTCCCCAACATATAGCTATATATTAACATGTATTACCCTCTGGTAAACTAACATAGCTATTGAAAATGACCATTTATAGTTGATTTTCTCATTAAAGATGGTGGATCTTTCCATAGTTACGTAAACGTTTACCAGAGGGTATCCCCCAACATGCTCAAACTGCCTCCCCAACGTACGTTGCCCCACTTGTTCACGTGGGACATCGATGGACGCAGGTCTTTCGGACCATGGCCTACTCGCTGATTCCGAAGCCATCCTCGTCCTTGCTGTGGATGGACGTTGCCATGTTCTCCGTGACGGTCAGAAGAACGTCAGTCATGTGGGGAGCTTTCTTCGGTAGAATGAAATACCCCTTACCCGGCCTGGTAAACGTTTACGTAACTATGGAAAGATCCACCATGCTTTTAACGGGTAAATCCACTATTTCTATGGCCATTTTCAATAGCTTTTTGTATGTTTACCAGAGGGTAAATGCCATCAACGGTTGACCAAAATGGTCAAAAACCATACATTTGTAAGTCTTTTTTTTGGCCACCATGACGTGGTAAGTCTAGCAAACATGGCCATTTGCAAGGACTTACAGCATTTTTCATGGGTGGGTTAGTTAACTAAAACATGTAAACACCATCCGCAAATGGTAGGTTTGTTTACCACATGGTTTGAAACGGGTTTGCCACGGCCGATTTTTCCTACAGTGCTTCGCAAGAAATTCTTGTCGAAGTTCCACTCAGTTCAATGATGTTCCCACTTGGGATTTTCCACTGCTTTTCATCCACTCAACACCTTCAATATGATGATCCTATCATATCCATTAATATCGTATATTATATGATATTATATCATGTTATATAATTATATATATATATATATATTCATCATATAAACATCATCCTATACATATCCCATATTATCCTACATATCTCCATATATAAAAACCGCTGAACATTTTCTTCACGGCTCATCAACCACATCCGCAAGGTCATCATGTTCGTTTCGCTTCTGGAGAACGTCTTGGCGCAGGTCCTGAGGGCTGCCATTTCGAGCCAAGCCTCGCGCTTCGTGGACAACCTGTCGCGGGTGACCTTTCCGTTGATGGCCGCTGGGTCGATGGAGATGTCTTCGATGTATTTTTTGCCCAAGAAAGCATGGAACACCCATGGAAAATCCCAAAAAAATATGGGGAAATGGAGATTTTCCACAATAGATGACATGGGGAATGGATGTGAATTAAGGGAATGATGGACTATGTGCTATTTTTGATGGGTTTTCGCAAGTCTTAAGCAAAGTCAAGATGATATTGATGTTGTACAATGTTGTTACTGTTGTTTTTGTGTTTTTTCAATGAATATTTGAAAGTTCTCAATAAGGGATGAGCTGGTAAGGAAATTTAAGTGACTTGCTTCCCGAAAATAGCTAAGCTATAGATTTGGCTGTACCGAGGTTTTTACTTGTTTTTCAGCTAAGAGCCACTTTCTGCACCATTACTTCATCAGGACAGTCCCATAGCAAACTTCACGTCAGCGATTTTCCGGCCATTGTGGCGACTAGCCACAGGGTGGCAAACCATATCATGTTACCTCTATTTGAATTTGTCTGAAAATGTGGTACTCTAAATTCCATTGGTTTCTCACTAATTGTCCATATGGAGGTTTCCATAAATGGGGGTACCCTAAATCATCCATTTTGTGTTGGGATTTTCCCTTACAAACCATCCAGCTGTTGGGGTACCCCATTGATTTACAAAGCCTCAGACAATATTTCACCAACCGTTTTACACTTCGGCGATTTGGGCACGTCCCACAGAATTTCCACGGCGTCCTCCTGATAAAAACTGGGGGCTCCATCCTGCCCAGATGCTCTAAGAACGTAACATTTACCTACACATTTACCAGATCATTTACCCCAAAAATGGCCCAGTTAGGTGAATATTCCAGCACCATGTCCATATTTCAAGTGGCTATAAAAATATAGCGGACTCCATTTTCGTCAGTTTCCAGGCCTTGTTGATCCTGTTTCTGCTCTTTGCCATGGGAGCAGCCAGGACGGATACGAACACAACCATGGCAGTGGCGTGGTAGACAGTCTGTTTCAGCCTTTTAGTCATCCTGGAGTTGATAGAATCTGGGTAAATTTCATCACGACCTCACTGCGACCGAGCCCTGAAATCATGGTGAAAGTTAGGGGAATCATCCCCAAATGGCCCAACAATTCAGGTTAGTGAAATATTATAATTTACCCAGATAGAATATTGACCGGTTGGTGGTTTGGAACATTTTTTATTTTCCCCAATAGTTGGGATGATGATCCAATCTGACTAATATTTTTCAGAGGGGTTAAAACCTATACCCTCTGGAAATTTAACATAGCCATGAGACATGGCCCATAGAAAAAGGTGGTTTACCGTTCTTAATAGCATGGTGATTTTCCATGGTGAACTGTAACAAATAACCAGATGGTAAATTGGAATATCTGAAAATTGGAACGTTGAATATTCAGAATATTCTATCTACTTCAGGATGATTGATTTCTGTTAAACGCTCCCTTTTTGGAGAATGATTTTGGCAAGCTGGCTAATGCTTCTGGGATGGGCACCACTTTCAACGATAAATGGAACGATCATTTTTCATTGATCCCTTGACTACTTTACCCAGTCTCATAGTTGTATAGTTTTCGGGCCTGATTGTGGCTTCCTGCTTTCCCAGGTGTGTTTAACTTTGTTGTGTGTCTGGCTGGTGTCTTTCAGCTTTGCTGTGACTTTCTACTGCCGCTATTTAGCGCGCATGCTGATGAAGACGCTGGCGGGGGGTGAACATTGGGTCAAAGTTATTGAACGATCCAATGGTGAGAAGGGAGCAGTTTAGGAGCGAACCATAAGTATCCCAGGGATATATACGGATCATGAATATAATATATATATATACAATATATACATATAATTTATCTAAGATTCAAAAGGTATGCTTTCATATGGTTCTATCTTATGCCAGAGGTTCGTGGCAGTTTAAGGTGGCAAGTTTGGTGGCAAGTTCGGTGGCGGTGGCAGTTAGATATGGCAATGTGGGTGGCAGTTTCAGTGGCAATGAAGCGTTGGTGGCAAGTTTGATGGCAGAATGTGATTGCAAAAATGGTGGCAACCGTATTTTGGTGGCAAAAGGGGTGGCAACTTTGCATGGCAAAAATTGAGCCGGAAGTTTAGCAATCACATTTTGGCGGCAGCAGAGGTGTCAAAATTTGACGGCAGCTTTTTGTGCAGAAAAGGTTGCAAACACCTTCAGTCACAAAAAGGCGTTGAGTGTACATGGCACATGTTGACAGAAAGGGTTTGAGAGACTTTTTGGCGGCAAATGGGGTGGTAAGTTGATAGCAAAAGTGCTGGCAAAATTTGGTGCTACATCAACTACAGAGAAAGATGTTGACCAAAATCATGCCAGCCCTATTGCACCTTCTGCGGAGGCGACACCCACCGACCCTATGAATTAAAGGACCAGATAACCCCACATGGCAACTTCTTCCAATAATGAGCACCAAATGTTGTAGCGGGGACGGGGAAGAAAGGAAAGACAAAGGAGGTGGAGGACCGAGAAGTAGAACAAAATTGTGTGTGTGTGTGCTACAAAGTTGTGTGTGGAAGATGGTGTGTGTGAAAGTTGTGTGAAAGAGAGCGTGTGTGAAAGATGGTGTGTGACAAAGTGGTGTGTGAAAGATGTTGTGGCGAAAGATGGTGGGTGACAAAGTGAAGTGGTGTGTGAAAGATGGTGTGATGAAAGATGGTTGGTGACAAATTGCTGTGTGAAAGGTGGTGTGGTGAAAGATGGTGTGTGACAAAGTGGTGTGTGTGTGAAGGATGGTGTGGTGAAAGATGGTGTGTCAAAGATGGTGTGTGAGAGATGGCGTGTGAAGGATGGTGTGGTGCAAGAAAGTGTGTGACAAAGTGGTGTGAAAGATGGTGTGTCAAAGATGGTGTGTGAGAGATGACGTGTGAAGGATGGTGTGGTGAAAGAAAGTGTGTGACAAAGTGGTGTGAAAGATGGTGTGTCAAAGATGGTGGGTGACAAAGTGCTGTGTGAAAGGCGGTGTGTGAAAGATGGTGTTTGACAAAGGTGGGCGTGAAAGATGGTATGTGAAAGGTGGTGTGTGAAAGATGGTGTGTGACAAAGATGGTGTGTGAAAGATCGTGTGTCAAAGATGGTGTGTGAAAGATGGTGTGTGACAAAGTGGTGTGTCAAAGATGGTGGGTGACAAAGCGGTGTGTGAAAGATGGTTTGTCAAAGATGGTGGGTGACAAAGTGGTGTGTGAAAGATGGTTCGTGAAAGGAGGTGGATGTCACCAAGCGCCACACCTGCCACGCAAAACGAAGGTAGATGTCTCCAAGTGCCACGCCTGCCACGTGAAACGAAGGTGGATGTCACCAAGCGCCTTGCCTGGCACGCAAAGTGGAAGTCGATGTCACCAAGTGCCACACCTGCCATGCAAAGTGGAGGTCCATGGTCGCCAAGTGCCACACCTGCCACGCAAAGTGACTGTCCATGTCGCCAAGTGCCACGCCAACCAAGCGCGCCACCAGAGCCAGCCCAGTGCCATAAGTGCCACGCCTGCCACGCAAAGTGGAGGTCCATGTCACCAAGTGCCGCACCTGCCACGCAGAATGCACGCACATGTCACCAAGTACCACGCCTGCCACGCAAACAGCGGCGGCGTCCACGGCGTCAACTGGGAACCAAGCGCGCCACCAGAGCCAGCCCAGCGCCATAAGTGCCACGCCTGCCATGCAGAATGCACGTACATGTCTCCAAGCGCCTCATCTGCCACGCAGAATGCACGTACATGTCTCCAAGCACCACGCCTGCCACGCAAACAGCGGCGGCGTCCACGGCGTCAACTGGGAACCAAGCGTGCCACCAGAGCCAGCCCAGTGCCATAAGTGCCACGCCTGCCACGCAGAATTCACGTAGAAGTTGTGCGTGGACAAGTTGTGTGAGGACAAGCTGTGTGTGAGCGATTTGGTGAAGACAAGTTGTGTGTGAGCAAGTTGTGTGAAGACAAGTTGTGTGTGAGCAAGTTGTGTGATGGCAAGTTGTGTGCGAGCGATTTGGTGAGAACAAGTTGTGTGTGTGTGAGCAAGTTGTGTGATGACAAGTTGTGTGATGCCAAGTTGTGTGTGAGCGATTTGGTGAGGACAAGTGTGTGAGCAAGTTGTGTGATGACAAGTTGTGTGTGGACAAGTTGTGTGTGGACAAGTTGTGTGAGGACAAATTGTGCGGGAGCGATTTGGTGAAGACAAGTTGTGTGTGTGGACAAGTTGTGTGGGAGCGATTTGGTGAAGACAAGTTGTGTGTGAGCCAATTGTGTGATCGCAAGTTGTGAGTGAGCGATTTGGTGAGGACATGTTGTGTGTGAGCAAGTTGTGTGATGACAAGTTGTATGTGGACAAGTTGTGTGTGAGCGATTTGGTGAGGACAAGTTGTGTGTGAGCAAGTTGTGTGTGGACAAGTTGTGGGCGGGAGGGGCGGGAGGCGGAGGAGAAGGCGGCGGCGGGATACAGAACCAAAAACAAGAACCCCACACAAAGATGTGGGGAAAAAATGTTGAGCCAAATTTTGCCCAGGCAGCTGCCCACCTGCCCGTCAAGAAATAAGGTCGATTTTTGCCCAAATAAGCCTTATTTTTGACAAAAAATAGGCCTTATTTTTTGACGGGCAACGATGGCAACCAAAAACGCGCACGCTTGTCCTTTCAAGACAAACCGCACTAGTTTTTGGTTGCCATCGTTGCCCGGCAAAAAATAAGGCTTATTTTGGCAAAAATCGACCTTATTTCTTGACGGGCAGGTGGGCAGCTGCCTGGGCAAAATTTGGCTCAACATTTTTCCCCCACATCTTTGTGTGGGGTTCTTGTTTTTGGTTCTGTATCCCGCTGCCGCCGTTTTTGGTTGCCATCGTTGCCCGTCAAGAAATAAGGTCGATTTTTCCCAAAATAAGGCTTATTTTGGCAAAAATAGGCCTTATTTTTTGACGGGCAACGATGGCAACCAAAAACGCGCACGCGTGTCCTTTCAAAACAAACCGCACTAGTTTTTGGTTGCCATCGTTGCCCGGCAAAAAATAAGGCCTATTTTTGTCAAAAATAAGGCTTATTTTGGCAAAAATCGACCTTATTTCTTGACGGGCAGGTGGGCAGCTGCCTGGGCAAAATTTGGTTCAACATTTTTTCCCCACATCTTTGTGTGGGGTTCTTGTTTTTGGTTCTGTATCCCGCCGCCGCCGTTTTTGGTTGCCATCGTTGCCCGTCAAGAAATAAGGTCGATTTTTGTCAAAAATAAGGCTTATTTTGGCAAAAATCGACCTTATTTCTTGACGGGCAACGATGGCAACCAAAAACTAGTGCGGTTTGTTTTGAAAGGACAAGCGTGCGCGTTTCTGGTTGCCATCGTTGCCCGTCAAAAAATAAGGCTTATTTTTGTCAAAAATAAGGTTTATTTTGACAAAAATCGACCTTATTTCTTGACGGGCAGGTGGGCAGCTGCCTGGGCAAAATTTGGCTCAACATTTTTTCCCCACATCTTTGTGTGGGGTTCTGGTTTTTGGTTCTGTATCCCGCCGCCGCCTCCTCCTCCGCCTCCCGCCCCTCCCGCCCACAACTTGTCCACACACAACTTGCTCACACACACAACTTGTCCTCACCAAATCGCTCACACACAACTTGTCCACACACAACTTGTCCTAACACAAATTGCTCACACACAAACTTGCTCACACACAACTTGTCCTCACCAAATCGCTCACACACAACTTGTCCTCACACAACTTGTCCACACACAACTTGTCATCACACAACTTGCTCACACACAACTTGTCCGCACACAAATTGCTCACACACAACTTGTCATCACACAACTTGCTCACACACAACTTGTCTTCACCAAATCGCTCCCGCACAATTTGTCCTCACACAACTTGTCCACACACAACTTGTCCACACACAACTTGTCATCACACAACTTGCTCACACACAACTTGTCCTCACCAAATCGCTCACACACAACTTGTCCACACACAACTTGTCCTCACACAACTTGTCCACACACAACTTGTCCACACACAACTTGTCATCACACAACTTGCTCACACACAACTTGTCCTCACCAAATCGCTCACACACAACTTGTCCTCACACAACTTGTCCACACACAACTTGTCCACACACAACTTGTCCACACACAACTTGTCATCACACAACTTGCTCACACACAACATGCCCTCACCAAATCGCTCACACACAACTTGTCCACACGAAACTTGTCCTCACACAACTTGTCCACACACAACATGTCCTCACCAAATCGCTCACCCACACAATTTGTCTTCACCAAATCGCTCCCACACAACTTGTCCTCACACCACTTGTCCACACACAACTTGTCCACACACAACTTGTCATCACACAACTTGCTCGCACACAACTTTGTGAGGACAAGTCGCTCACACACAACTTGTCCTCACACAACTTGTACGTGCATTCTGCGTGGCAGGCGTGGCACTTATGGCACTGGGCTGGCTCTGGTGGCGCGCTTGGTTCCCAGTTGACGCCGTGGACGCCGCCGCTGTTTGCGTGGCAGGGGTGGTACTTGGAGACATGTACGTGCATTCTGCGTGGCAGATGAGGCGCTTGGAGACATGTACGTGCATTCTGCGTGGCAGGCGTGGCACTTATGGCACTGGGCTGGCTCTGGTGGCGCGCTTGGTTCCCAGTTGACGGCGTGGACGCCGCCGCTGTTTGCGTGGCAGGCGTGGTACTTGGCGACATGTGCGTGCATTCTGCGTGGCAGGTGCGGCACTTTGGTGACATGGACCTCCACTTTGCGTGGCAGGCGTGGTACTTATGGCACTGGGCTGGCTCTGGTGGCGCGCTTGGTTCCCAGTTGACGCCGTGGACGCCGCCGCTGTTTGCGTGGCAGGCGTGGCACTTGGCGACATGGACCTCCACTTTGCGTGGCACTTATGGCACTTGGTGACATCGACTTCCACTTTGCGTGCCAGGCAAGGCGCTTGGTGACATCCACCTTCGTTTCACGTGGCAGGCGTGGCACTTGGAGACATCTACCTTCGTTTTGCGTGGCAGGTGTGGCGCTTGGTGACATCCACCTCCTTTCACGAACCATCTTTCACACACCACTTTGTCACCCACCATCTTTGACAAACCATCTTTCACACACACCACTTTGTCACACACCATCTTTGACACACCATCTTTGTCACACACCATCTTTCACACACCATCTTTGACACACTATCTTTCACACACCACCTTTGTCACACACCAGCTTTCACACACCACCTTTCACACACCATCTTTCACGCCCACCTTTGTCACACACACCATCTTTCACACACCACCTTTCACCCACCATCTTTCACACACCACCTTTCACCCACCATCTTTGACACACCATCTTTCACACCATCTTTCACACCACTTTGTCACACACCATCTTTCACCACACAATCCTTCACACACCATCTCTCACACACCAGCTTTGACACACCATCTTTGACACAACATCTTTCACACCATCTTTCACACACCGTCACAGGCTTTCGCACACCACTTTGTCTCACACCATCTTTCACCACACCATCCTTCACACACCACTTTGTCACACACACACACCATCTTTCAACACACCACCTTTCACACACACACACACAACTTTGTCACACATCATCTTTCACCACAGCGGCTTTCACATACCACTTTGTCGCACACCATCTTTTACACACAACTTTGTCACACGCTCTCTTTCACACAACTTTGTCACACACACACACACCATCTTTCACACACAACTTTGTCACACATACACAATTTTGTTCTACTTCTCGGTCCTCCACCTCCTTTGTCTTTCCTTTCTTCCCCGTCCCCGCTACAACATGCGGTGCTCATTATTGGAAGACTTTGCCATGTGGGGTTATCTGGTCCTTTAACTCTGTGCCCCGCAATGTTCCAGCATGGCTTAGACACAGAAAATCATTAGACCAAAACACAACCGAAAGGCAATTGCTGACCAAGTGAGCTGTAAACACAACAATTTCTGAGCACTAAGTTTGATCATTCGACGCCACAACAATCTGATTGAAACTGTTCACTTGCTTTGCATATGACACAATTCCAGAAGCCGCTTGTGCAAGCCAACGGCTGCATACAATATCCTTTGGCCATACAATGTGCCATCTGCTTTTCCCACTTACGCGTCGCGTCTTTAGCCCTTGCCACATTTTTTGCCAGAGCTTTGCTACCTGTGTTGCTATTGCTTTTGCCCGCAATGCAAGTTTCCCTTTCGTTGCCACGTGTGTTGCCAAGGGCTTTTGCTCGCAACCCAAATTTTGCCATTCAATTTGCCGCCTGTGCTTTTGCCCCCGCCACGTATTTGCCAGTGTTTTTTGCCACCGATGTTGCCATTACATTTGCCCCCGTCGCTTTTTTCTATCCATGTTGCCCTGCAGATTGCCACCGCCATTGCCATTGCCATTGCTTTTGCCCTCAAAGTTGCCATCTTTGTTGCCATCAAATTTGGGCGCCTAATAGAGCATTGTTCTTGAATTTTAGATAACATATAATATAATATAATATAATATATAATATATATAATATAATATATAATATAATATATAATATAATATATAATATAATATATAATATAATATATAATATAATATATAATATAATATATAATATAATATATAATATAATATATATAATATAATATATAATATGATATATAATATAACATGAAATATAATATATAATATAATATTTAATATAATATATACCTCGGTGCCAGTTGGAGCTACGAATTGAGTTTCCGAAGCGCAATCAATGGGAGATCTTCATGGAATTTCAGGATCCTCAAATGTGGTTTACCCTCTGGTAAACTAACATAACTATGGAAAATCACAATTTTTAATGGGACATTCCACTATAAATAGCCATTTTCAATAGCTATGTTAAATTACCAGAGGGTACTGTACCACATTTTTGGCCATATTTTGGTACCTCCAATTTATGTTCCTGAGATGGCCAGTGACATGGCAAAACATTTGTGGTTGACCAAACAACACCAATTTGGTGGGCCGGTCCACAATTTTCACAACCAGCACAGAGATAGAAAATCAATTAGGATGCATATGCCTCAGATACTACGTGGTAGGTATATGTCCGTATGTATGTACTGTGTAATACCCCCCAAGTAAATCAATGTCAGGGTCAGTGCAACAAGTGCTTGTCCACTTGTGAATTGGGCCACTCCCCCTTCCATTTTGTTTGAGGTTAGCTAGAAAGTCCGTACTTGAAGTCTTCCACCCACTACACTTGGTTTTGCTGGGTAGGGATCACATGGTACCTTGATGTTCATATCATATCATTTGATAGCTGTTGTAGTTCATGTTGTAGAGCTGAATGTCCCCTATATAGCTACGAATTCATACGGATTGTTTCGGACAGTCCTTGGTTACTTGATGTTACTTGTAACATCTTGTAACCCCAATGGTCGCTGGCTTATTTTTCAGGCTCTCCAGCCATCCAATCCACCAGATTATTTGCTTCCGCTGGTGGCTATGTGGCGGCTCCATCTGCAGCCCCTGCCAGGTTAAGCACGTCTCAGCCAATTCTCGGTACAACGTCATCTCCTTCGACCAAAAGGAGCTGCGGGTGGTCTTTGAAGTCTTTGATGAGGAAGACACTGGCAGCATTGCAGCAGACAAGGTGCGATGGTGTGAATGTTTGTTGATGGTGGATAAAGTGGAGGATCATCTGGCTTCACAGGTTTTTTTTGTAAATTTGAAAGTGTATTGTTTTTCAGGGTGTGGTATGTGTTCGAAGTTTTCAGACACCAAACTCTTAGAAAACTGGGGCTTCCCAATTTCAATATAGCTTCCAATCTCCAAAGCGAGTTGACTGTTTTCCCATCGTTTGGATCCAAATGTTCATCGCTTCAATACGTGGCATCCTGAACATGATCAGCTTGGTCCATGTGGGTTCCCCTGCGGCGAACATACAACATATTTCCAGACAACCCCCGGAGAGATTCCAAGATTCCGACATTCTTATTGGTGGTCAAGCCTCCCGTTTTGTGGTGCACGTTGATGCCTGTTGATGCCAGAATTGGAACATTTAGAGCAAAGAATCGCTGGAACAAATCATATAGTTTCCTTTCAGTTGGGCCTCTGTCCATGGGACAAAAAAATGATGCGCGAAAGTCGAAAGTCGCAATTTTTGATGGCTTTGGACCTGAAAATGGTGAAGACATCCAGAAGATTAGCATTTTGAATAGGGAGAACAATCCTACATCATGACATTTTGGGGAGTAAATCTCATTGAATAGCAGTAAATCCCATGGACAATTCCTATTTTGCTGATGGTGAAAGGCTTTTTGAAGCCACATGTCCAATTTCGGCTATCCCCAGTTGTTTCGGATTCCTATCATTACATCTCCACCGTCTCCTGGAGGTCTTCCAAAAGCTCCAGCGACATGGCCTTTCACTGGCTCCCGAGGGTGCCACAAAATTCCAGGAGCGTTTGAGGGCGGTCTTTCAACGCCTGGATGCAGCCAAGGGGCAATTGGATCTCAAGGGTTTCTTGGAGATTCAAAATGGGCTGGTCGCTGTTTATTGTTGTTGTTTTTTGTGATCTAAGATAATCCATTAATCCATTTCTTGAAGTTGATATTTCTGGTTTGGATCTGAAACTATTGGAAGTATCCATATCTTTTTGGGAGAAAGAATTTTGATCCAAATTCTTGATTAAATCAGTTGTATATTGAATTCACTTGAAATAAATGTTTTTGATGATAATCCTAATTATAATCCGATTTTTTGATCCATACTATTACCCATGACGGATCCATGGTGCTGCTATATATGGTGTGCCATGGATCCCATCCATATACCCCAGTCATGTTAGCATATATACCAGCACCATGGATCCGTCATGGGTTACTAAATCCTATCATTTTCCATAGTGAATTCCCAGGTTTCTGCCAGAACTTCCAAGAGCTCTTCCACTTGGATCGCGCGGCTCGCGCGCCCGACGAGCCGCACGAGGCGCAGGACGTCGAAGGCTCCGTGGAGACGCTGCAGCTCGACGAGGAGGAAGGAACGCATCCCTTTGAGGTCATTGCTACCTGAGGCCATGGAGAAAAAAAAACATGGAAAAAATGAAGGAAAAACATAGGAGTTTGACCTCCCCTGGTTATAGAAGTTGTATATAAGTTTGATCTAGCCTCCCGGTAAATTATAAGATAGACCTCGAAAATCACCGATGTTTAGTGGGAAACTACTCTTCCAACCCCTATTTGCCAGGGTCTATGTTAATTTACTGGAAGGTAATATATATTATTATAATATATTATATATATATAAATAGAGAGATGGAAGCCATGGACCATTTTGTTCGATGATAACATGATGATTTCATGTGATTTACCGAACAAAATCGTGACTTTCCATGTATGCCATAGCTACAATAAATTACCAAAGGGTAATTGTAGTAATAACATGTAATAACCACAATGACAGTAATCACAACTAATGATGGTTATATAATGATATATAATAATCGTGATGTATATATATAAACACGTATAATATATATATATATACAGTTCACATGTTATGGCAAAAAATAAATTAGTAATCTAGTGGATTCGGAGGTTGGAATTAATGTGGTTTAATGCGGGTAATGATGGTTAGTGATGAACAATGATGAAACATAAGGTTAGTGGTGAAATCGAAGTAGCTTTGTGGTAGAGTCAATAGCAATAGAAACAACACTGATGACAGTAGAGTGAAAGCTCCGTAATTAGGAATGAGTAATGGCTGAACTGACCACAATTCCCGGCGAATTCTTGGGTTCATAGTGTTCGGTTTGCCGCACTTTCTTTAAGTTCATATGTTTTTTTTTGTTAAGGGGTTTTATTACCCTGAAAAATAATGATTAAGATTGGGCCATAATATCAGTGCCATATTTTGTGGGGATATCCCCTTACATAGGCCTTATATAGGCCTTACATATGGTAGGTACCTCCAATTTAGGTTCCTGAAATGGCCATTGATAATAACGATTTGAAAGATATTGAAAGTACTTGTCACTTGACATTGCACTTCAACCTGGCCTTTTTGCTAAAACCACACGGCCAAGCCGTGTCAGTAGGGCCAACTCAGTTGAGAACGGCTCGGTGATCTCGGTGCTCTGGGGAGCCTCTCTCAACATGTTTGTTGCTGACTTGTTTCATGACTACTTGTTGTATATATATATACATTCATATATAACATACTACATTAGTTACACTATGATATGTCTATATGCCAGGAACCACCTCTTAACATCCATAGAACATCACATCCAATATATACACAGCCCTTGCGCAGTCAATGAGAAAGTTCGCCGTTTGCCACGTCTTGATAAAAACCAAAAAAAAACAACACCCGAGACGCACTAAGGGGTGCCACCACGGCACCCCTTGGGGATAAGGGGTGCTTTTACGACAGATGTGCAGAACACCACCCGGCACGAAATGACACATTCAGGCATCCATCTTGGCATGTCTTGGCAATCACAATGTATTCAACCAGAAAGAATTGGAACACACTCAAAAGAGCCAGAATTGGTTTGCAGAGACTTCAACAAATAAGGGCTGCCACTACGGTTTTTGTCCTAGGGGGTGCCGCTATGGCTATGGCACCCGTTGGAAGTTGCTGGTACATACTACATACACATATTAATGTACTAATGATGATTATGACATATCATGATTATGATGATGACGACGTTGGTAATCATGATAACAACACCAGTTACATTGAACACAACATAACACAACAATCTATATAATCTATTCATGTCTGTAACTACTTTTTCACTTGTTCTTTATTTGATTACCATGATGTCATTGAATTACATGAAATACTGTATACCATCAAAACCATCCAAAACCAGCATCGTTGAAACAAAGGTTCAAAGACCGCGTCTCAAAGAAAGAGATCACCTGCCGAGTTTTCAAGAGCCAACCTTCCTAAAGGGAAGTGCGTTTGAAAAAGAGATGCCAACCTTCCCAGATTGGGGCTGGATTATGGGTTTCCAACAGATCCGAATCTGCAACGACATATAAAAATTGGGAGACCAATGGTCTCCGCACCTTCCAAAATCCAAAAGAGGTGACACCAAAAAAGTAATGTTTATAAGTTGGTTTATAAGCCCCAGTAACTATAGTTATAACTACCATAAACCATACTGTAGTTATTGGAGTTATGTTCACCAACTTAGCTATCTTGGGGGCCTCACATTGTAGAAACAGGTTGAATCTTCACCAAGAACCTCCGATTTTTGTTCGGCCGAATCTCAACCATTTATTGTTGGGGCGATCGTTGATTCCCAAGAATTTTTGGTCCATTGCGCTGAGACGCTCTCTGCCTCTCTCTGTATACGATAATATAGGTGCTATATTATGCAAGATTAAATAGGTATGGTAACATGCAGTAACATAAGATGCCTCATATCAAGTTTTCGAGTTGGGATAGGGTTCCATCCAACTCATATACAATATAACAGTCACATACATTTACAGTAATACATCACTTTTTAGGGCTATAATGTGGGTAAAACAATAATAAACTATCCCCGGAATCACCATAAATTGGTGGTACTGAATGGTTACCATTCCCAAATGGGTGGTTCATTTTTGTTTTACCCATATTAATATATAAATTACCATCAATATTATTAGTTACCATTAATACCATGTTTCCAGCCCACTTGACCCCAAATGGGTTCATCTAGCGTAGCAGGCTGAAAGCCCTGCTGTACTCTGCCGCCGCTTGGGCGGTTACTTGGCGTGTTGTGCGTGTTGTGATGAGCGGCCGGATTTGAGGCAGTGGATGGTTGTTGCGAAATCCGATAAACCACCTGGGATGGTAGAAAGCATTAGAAAGACTATAAATAATGGGATGTTTACCACCTAGAAATCCTGGTGCAGGATTTTGCTGGCCCATCCGCAGTATCCTAGATGATTGATCCCATTTAAGATACAAAATCTACTGTGATTTACTATCCGAATCCCTCAGAATATAGATCATGATTTCCTAGATAGACCCGGTTGCATCCTGAAATCTCCATTCATATTTCCAGATGTTTTAATGATATTTAATAGACCTCATACATTGTTCCTAGATATTTAATGATATTTTCATTGAAATCCTTCGACACTCGCCCCGGTTGCGTCCTGAGGCCTTGCTGGAAGCGGCCGCGCACGCCTCGGCCATGGCAGCTTTACCTGTGGCCACTCGGCAAATCAGCAAGGTGCTTGATGTAAATTGGGTATTTCGTGGGACATGTTATCTATTATCAAAATATATTTGTCTACTAGATACTACTAGATGATTAATATAGATGTATCTATTCATAGATTATGATACCTATAATGTTTTATTAACATATATATATATACATTTATTGCCCTGTTTTCCAATCAAGATTAGCAACTGACATTTCAGAATTACGAACATCACAATGTGATTCTTCAATGCAAAATGTCAATCTCTGACGGTCCGTGTTGTGTTTGATATTGGTTTTGGGGGGATGCCGGGATGCCAGTGAAATGCTGTCTCCCGGATAGACTGTTGACTTGTCACAAGGTATCCACTCAGAGTGATGCATGGAGAAGTGGTTGGTGATGAAAAAAAACAATCCAGTTTTGTACAATGCTGTTTCGGATGATCTGAAACCACCCTTGGTGATGTGTTTTCTCACTTCCAATGGTCATTTCGTGGTGGTGTTAGATGCGATTTTTTCTCCAATCCCAATGACCAAAGAAAGTTTTTTTTTAGCTGATGGTTGCAAGGAAATGAACTATTTTCTATCGCCAGTTGTAGTACCCTCTGGTAATTTAACATAGCTATTGAAAATGGCCATTTATATTGAGTTTTCCCATTGAAAATGGTGATTTTCCATAGTTTTTTGTATGTTTACCAGAGGGTAGCCAGAAAAGTTGTCAGCCAGTTCACCATGTCAGATGATTTCAACACATGGATGCTCTCAGATCCCCAAGTCATGGCAACGTAGGGCAACGTAGGGCAACGTAGTGTGTGGGTCTGTTGGTACTGATTCCGACTGTATCACTATATAAATAATATGTTGTGTATATATATAACATTATACAACCCGTATTGTTCACTGTATTCTAACCATTCCTTTCATTCTTCACCACAGTTTCGCAAAAATCATTCCAACCATTGTCTATATGAATTAGAATTGCAACACTTCACTCAATAGTTATCATTATTTATGATATATTACCTTTTATATAGTTGGAATGGTAACCTTTTCAATTAGAATATATTAGAATGGTAAATCTTTATTTCAACTAGAATGGTAACCGGTTCGTTTCAATTATGCACCAGAAATTTGATCATTCAACTTACCCTCTGGTAATTTTAAAAAATAACTATTGAAAATGGCAATAGAAATAGTTGATTTACCCATAAAAAATATGGTGATTGTCCATAATTATGTTAGTTTACCAAATGGGTATAAGCCATTCGAAATGGGAGGTTTATGACATTCCAAATCAACCACATTACCATCATTTATAGTTGATTTATCCATCATTTATGGTGATTTTCCATCGTTTTTTGGAAAGCCGCAAGCCTTACCTTGCCCTCTGGTAAACTAACATACCTATTGAAAATGGCCCATAGAAATAGTTGATTTACCTATGAACAGATAGTGATTTTCCATGTTTTTTTGTATGTAGAAACCAGAGGATAAAACCCATTAGATCCCATTAAACCACCATAAATTCCCATAAATTTCCATTAAACCACCATAAATTCCCATAAATTTCCATTAAATCACCATAAATTCCCATAAATTCCCATTAAATCACCATAAATTCTCATAAATTCCCATAAACTCCCATAAATTCCTATAAATTCCCATTAGATCCCATTAGATCCCATTAAAATGTTGATTTACCAGAGGCGACCAGACTCTTTAGTGATCTCCTGGCTGGCCTTGACACCTCCAAGGCTCAGATCTTTCAGCGCGTCTTGTGGTCGGCGGCGCGCCAGCCACTGAGGGGAATAGCCTCCAGTGGGTTTTTCCAACGTAAATGGGGATGTATCAAAACCAATCTTGCTATATTCGGGGGAATTTTCTAATATGGGTATGGATCAATACCTATTAATACCATTTTTAATGGGATGAACATCCATTTACCAGTTATTTGGGGTGAACAGAAGGGTACCAAGGTTTTGACTCATACCCAAATCTGAAGAAGAATTTCAGTTGCAAGTATTGCAGTATGAAAAACGAGATTGAGATGGCAGTTTTTGTTTCTACTCTACCGAAGTCTTGTAGCTAGTCCATCCAAAAAATAGGGTTATGTTTGGTAGTTACATAGACGTGGGAATCACTTACGGTTAGGCATGGGACCCTTCCACGGGTCCCACTGAAACATCGAAGATTTCACCATGGAGAAAATCCCTGGCTTCGCACATGCGTATCTTAGCACGTACCCTCTGGTAAACATACAAAAAAATATGAAAAATAACCATTTTCAATGGGAAAACTCACTATAAATGGCCATTTTCAATAGCTATGTTAAATTACCAGAGGGTATCTCCATGTGTGTGTGTGTGTGTCTGGTCTTGTGTTGTTCTTTTGGGATATATCATGATATATCGATATATTTGTTGGGTTGACATCACAGTCTTGTTGGTTGAACCAGTTGGTTTTTCAACATTCCCAACCTTGGATGATCGGTCGTTTTTCATCAAGTTTAATCCTTGAGTTTCTTGCCAAAAACATGGAAAAATCACCTAAAATCACCAGCAAAAGATACCATTTTTTTGTGGATTTCCCATAGATTGACCATGGGTTTCCCATGGGATTTCTGTTACCGGTATTTTTTGGGAACGAGTTCTCGAGGCATGGACTACAACGACATTCAGTCGCAGAAGATCCTGGGGGAGGCGAAGCGCTCGGAGTGGATAGCTAGGAATGGGATAGGTCATGGATAATATAGTTGTATTATATATATATAAGAAAATAGAATGGGATAGTTGATGGATAAGAATAGTGTTAATTGCTAGTAATGGGATATCTAATGTGAACAAACATAGTTAATAAATGGAAAATGGGAATCTAACCAACACTATTCATGTTGTGATTTATCATGGGATTACCAGGATATAGTATGGGATATGGTTTTCATGGACAATTCATGGATTCCATGAATCGATACTTACCCCTGCCAGTTAGTTGGATAATTGATGGACCATCTTATGGCAACAACCCTCTGGTAATCGAACTCTTCAGGGTTCTTTTTTGAGGCAAGCCACTTACTGGAGGCATCTGGAGGCAATGAATCCCAATGATTAGGGATCATTATATATATCCCATTGTTGTATATATCCAATACTCGGGACATAATGTATCATATCATCATAGGCTATATATATATATATATACATATCAATTATAGGGTTCATTTTATCATATATTATAGATATGTATATATATATATATATATATCATATCCAACTAAAATTGCGATATCACTACACTTGGGATTATCCAACTATGACACATATCCAATGGAAGGTTGTTCTTTACCCATCACCGTAGACCATTCCCAAGTTTTTTACCATAGAGTCACCCACACGAAAATAGACAAGAAACATCCGACTCAGACTGAAAAAATATCATCCGGTTTCTATCTTTTTGGGCTTAGGCACTGTTCCATGAGCAATGGAATTGCGTGTGTTTATTATGACTTATAAACACAAGATCATCATTTCGGGTGTAAAGATACTTATCCCCAATTGACTTATTATTGATACATCCATGACTTAGTAATCAATTCTCCATGATTATCCCCGATGATTCCGTAAGATTTTCTAGAAAGCTATGACTCAATTCATCGGTCTTTCATCGTCCCTCGGGGAATCTGCTGGGAATATGTATATTATAATTCTGTACTTATCATATATATATACACATTTATTCTATATATATATATATTATATTTTTTACATATATATAATATATATATATTATATATATAATATTCATTATATATATAATATTCATTATATATATAATATTCATTATATATATAATATTCATTATATGTATTATTAATTATATATAGTGTTATATTTAATTGCCTGTTATACATTTGTATTTATGTGTATATATATATTCATATTTATCAACCCCTCAAACAAATCCAAGATCATATGGGTATGGGTCAAAATTGGGCCCAAGAACTGCTTGGCCAAAATATCAAAAATAGAAGATAAACTGTGGCCAACAGGTGTTAAATGTTGACCCATATCTGGGTTATCATATATATATATATATGCATAATTATATGTATATATACATATACATGTTTCCCATGTTTTAGTACTATGTCCCAGTATTTCCATATATTATCTTCCCAGTTCCATTGCTGAAATTTTCTTTTCTGGGTTGACTCATGGCAGGCATCCTCCATTCTGCGGTTCGCCCTGAGTCCTCGCGCTCAGCCAGAGGCTGGGTATGTGAATTTCTCCACGGCTTTCTGATCTGAAAAATTGGGGTGGATAGGCTTCGTTACAGTATAGCAAGGATAGTAGAAGGAGTAAATATTGAAGAAACAAATCAACATCATACCAATATCTATATATATACATACATATATACATATATATATGCGGAGAAATTTGGATATTGACAATTTCATATCCCCTGCTGGTAACCTCCCGGCCCGCCCACAAGCCATGAAACCTGTTACAGCAGTTAAAAAAAACGTGGTACGTGATAGGACCCAGGCTCTCCACCAATTCACTTCAAGAGGTTGGGTTAAATTGCCGGGTTGTTATTTTTTTTGTTTATGGTCAACCATAGAAATGGGAAGATCACAAGGAGCAGCATATTTGCAGATGGGTTGAAACCGGCAAGCAGATTGAAAACCTCTTCACCTTGCAGATTTTGTCTTTTGTTGTAGTTAACAGGGGTTGGTAAATGTCCTAATTGAACATCACCCAAATATTAGGGGATCTATCTCCAACAGATACTTGAAAGTGATGTTCAAAATCCCCAAAATGGGACATTTACAAAACCCTGGTTAATAATCATTTAGAACGATCAACTTCACCAGTACACCGATCTGCAGGCGCAGTTGAAGGTCATGATGGAGGCCTTTCAGCAAGCCCTGGTAGTTGACCTCAGATCGTTTATTTGGCGAGCCATTACTGGTGAGTAGTTCGTCCCCCATAAACGGGCCATCCTATTTTTTTTTATGGCTTAACTAAGCTCAGTTACTTACCACTTAGGGTATTTTTTTTAAGAATGTGTAAAATCCATATGGTTTCCTGAGGGAAAAAACTATCTGCAAATAGTGGATTCACAGATTTTCCACATCGAACTGTTAGTTTACCCCAGGGTAAGTGGTAAGTGGTTAGGAACGGAGGTGAGTTTTTTTCGTGGGATAGGCGGGTGGAAAAAGCACTAAAAACTCAGTGGGATGATCCTTCGATCCACCCAAAAATCTTGGAGATTGGCCATCAATTTATGGCAATTTTATATTATTTAATGAATCGGACCATGATTTTTGATATCATTTTTAACTGAGGGTATATAGAAGTATCTATTTTTGTCTTGGGCCAACTCTGACAAGCCCAGATATGGGTGATGGTTGACAAAAAATGAACCAATGGTCACATGCACGCGAAGAAACATAACTTAATAGATGCCAAAGACTTTCGTGAGGATGCGGAAATTTTATTTCGTGAAACGGGTGTTCTTTCTAAATTTGGATCTGGATTGAGTCTAGTTTGGAGATATCCATCATGACCTTTGGGATCAGAGATGTGGAGAATTTCTTCAAGGCTTGTATGCCTCGAGTTCCAAGCAGTTCAAGATTCCAAGCAGTGTTTTTGGATGGTGAGTTTTTATGGTCAAACATGGTGATCTAAAATCAACAAACATTGGGAATAAATCAATAGATCACCAAAAAAAACCATAGAAAATCATTAATCATGGGAAAACAACCATGTTTTTTATGTTTTTTGATCCATGGGAATTCATTAATCATGAAAAAAAAACTCGAAAAAATAACATAGATTCCCAGCCCCAACTTGGCATCCGTGCTGGGGGATACCTCAAAATCAAACCAGGTCCCTGGTAGAGAAGTCTCAAATTGGATCACCTCATTTGCATCCACTCGGGTATGTTTGTAAATGAGGTACACCCCAAAATGGTTGATCTTTTGAACCTTAAAAACATGTTCAAAATGACCATAAAACCATTGGATTTGTGAGTCCCCTGGTTTTGGAGCCTGTTTGGAACCATGGCTCGGAACATGTTGGAACCAATGATCCGATGGGCTTGGGGGTTACCCCACTTAGGGGACCATATCTAGTTATCCCATGATATTCCACTATATTTCATTATATTATATCCAGTCACATCCCCTCATATGTCATTGCATTCATCCGTCATATAATATATCATGTTAACCCATTTTTTTAATTATATATAATTATATATATATATATATATGTTACATATAATTATATATACACACATATGTATATTATGTACATATGCATGTATACATCCATCATTTACCATTTAATCCCCATTTTTTTGGTCAATGGTTGAAGCCTCCCCACCATCCACATGACACGGACGCACCTGTCCCAAGGTCAGTGCACTGCCGGGCTTGCGCAATGAGACGGCGCCACGGAAGCTCTGCGAGGCTTGGGGCAGTGCCAGTTGGGGTTGAAAATGTCAAGTTCCATGTATAGAACAGTCATGATAATACTAATAAGTGTGGGAAATTATAACAGTTTATATGCATATAACTATAACAAGTTGACAGTTATACAACTATATAAATATCATGTTGTAACAGTTATAACAAGTGTGGCAATTATATTTATATACAATGATATATATATATATATATATATATAGCAAACAGTACAGGATGGTGCCAAAAATAGCTTTCTCAGTTGGTGCTAATTAGTCCAATAACTAGGGTTGATGAGGGGAATATAACTATAACTATATAGTTAAAGAGGATTATAAATCAACTTATGACTGGGGGGGCACCATCCTAAATCCACAAATAGCCAGTAAAAATCAGCAAAATCAATGAACATGATAATCGCTTATTGTAATTGCGGGTACCATCTTTTCACAGACAAACCCAGTCACTAAGTGGATATTTGACCGTTGAGCATAGCTATAGGGGTTTGTCTGAACATAGGGTATCTATAGAATTGATGAGTTCCCATCCACCCTTTTTTTCCTGGCCATTTGGGGTCACATGTTCAGACACATCCTTTAAAAGGACCCCCATATGGGGATGGGTCAAAACCTATTACCCTCTGGTAATTTAACATAGCTATTGAAAATGACCATTGAAATAGTGGAATTTCCCATTGAAAATTATGATTTTCTATAGTTATGTTGGTTTACCAGAGGGTATTATCTTATCATATTTGTATAACCATCCATAAAAAACCAGCTAGAACTTAGGCTACCATCCGATTTTAGCTTAGTGTTTGACTCAGAATCATCATAAATATGGGTGTGTTTTTTTTTTAAAGCATGGTAATCCAAGAATTCACCCAAAAAGGTCATCTTCTAAGAACATGACTTGGTTTGACTTTCCATTCAGTTGGGAATGTCATAATCCCAACTGACTTTAACCTGGTTGGTGGTTTCAAACATGTTTTATTTTCCATAATATACGGGATAATCCTTCCCATTCTTTCATATTTTTCAAGATGGTTATTGCACCACCAACCAGTAACTCATATTTTTCAGAGGGGTAGGTTGAAACAACCAGATTACCATGGCTTTCCAAGTTTATCACCACCATGAAATCCCCATGGCCGGTTCATGGCGAATGGGCGAATGGATGTCCCAGTGGAGCCGTTTTTTTTTTCAGGTCTTGGCACAAGACGGTCCCATCAAGGTGCGGCAATCCCCGAACTCGCCATGGAAACTCATCGAACTATTTGGCGGTTGAAAGCTGGGAAACTCGACTAGTTTTGCTGAGTTTGTTTAATAATCAATCTAAGATAACTATGTATATATATATATGTATCTGGTATAATATGTGATATAATATATGGTTATTGGTAAACTAACATAACTATGGAAAATCACCATTTATCATATATATATGGGGATGTGGAGATGATGGTCAACATAGCAATGATCATTGATCACATCCATGATCTTCCGTGACGAGCCATTTGCGCAGCCATTTGGAGGCTGTGTCTGAAAATATGGTACCCCTAAATTTGATCGATGATCAGCATTTTCCCCAAGGAAATGGCCACGAATTGTGGTATCCTCCATTCTTGGGACACGCCCATTACACAAGTTTGCTGGTCATATTCCATGATTTTTTTCAAACACATCTTATGAGATCTCATAAATTCGCATAAATTCCCACCAAAATCTGCTGGTTATATTCCTAGAACATAATCATATCCCCTGTGATATCTATAGAATCCTTTAAACATAGTATCAACTGGTTGGTTTATACTCATATTTTTCATGGTCAACATCCCCACATCCGAACCGCCGTCTGACAAAGGGGGCTGAAACACCAGTGCACAGGACATTCGAACGGCTCTGCAGCAATGCATCATGGATTGGCGACGTGAGTCTGGTATGGCCTGACGAAGTTCATCCAAAAGAAAAATCACATAGCCACGGCTGAAATTAAAGCCACATGGACCTCTGATTTGTAACTGTAGTTGTCGATGTTTTCACTAAAAAGCGTCTGAAAACGTTTCAAAGCTTTGATTCGGGGTATAACAGTATATTAATTGTATATTATATCAGAGTTGTTCCCTTTCCATCCCTTTCCATCCCTTTCCTGGATTTTTGGATCAGACTTTGGCTTTGATGTATCGATACCACCACTGCAGCAGAACAACGTACCTGTGAGATGAGTGGACACAGCGCCACTTCACCCGCTAGCTGGTGGCGGATGACACTGGAAGAGTCCGAATTTTCACGAGGCAAAAAGTCATCCAAAAATCGACATGGACATCAAGGCCACTAAGATTATTTACCATCTGGTTATTTAACATAGACATGGAAAATCACCATTTTTAATAGGTAAACCATCTATAAATGGGCCATTTTCCATGGCTATGTTAAATAACCAGAGGGTAATATTTGGTCCCTTGAAAAATACTGCTTGTTTTGCGATGCTCCCCGTGTTGGAAAAAAAACAGAGTTTTCGATGCCAACGAGCAGAATTTCGCTACCAGCCAGTTGATCTTTTCATATTCAGCACGTGACCCTCCTTGGCGATTTGCGATTTCGATGCAGCATTCTGAGCAGTGAAATGGGTCAGCTAGCCGTCTTCCCCTAGAAGATACCTGGCATATTATATATATACATATCATGTTTCATCATTTTTCGATGCTGATTCTACTTGATCCAACAGATATATGTTTGTTTTCTGTTTACATATTCCATTATATAAATGATATTCATTGCTATGATTGAGGCCGCCTTTTACCCCGTTCTTGTCAGGGCTCACCATTAGCTCTTTTTTCACTGTTTCCGAGCTGTTCTCTAGAGAAATCGCCAAGCGAGGTTATACAGTACGATCCTGAAATTTGCTGGAGCGCTTCGGCAAAACACGACATGGCATCGCAGGGGGGGATTGGTAAACGGGTAAACATGTGGATTCTTTTTTGTATAAACTGAAGAGGTAGAATACGGCAAAACCCTGTTCAAAGGAACATTGTGTTACTCTTTAACTTCTGAAATCTGGTTGTGTGAATCTTTTGATCCTGAGATGGAAACTCTTGATGGAGGTCCTACAATTTTCCACAATTGGTTATTGATTTACCCTCAATTTGGGGGTTTCCTAAAATGCGGGTACCCCGAAATCATTCATTTTCTACTAGGATTTCCCATTATCTCAGTAATTCCTTGTAACTTGACCACATCTTGGGGTTGATCAAAGCCCGATGCCCATGCCGATTCTGCAATCTTTTGGCTTGGTCAGCACGTTGGTGCAGCTGACAACATGATGCATCAGCCTCTGGCCAGTGACCATACTGATGGATCTCCATTGGACAAGCCGTACAACGTAGGGCTGGGGATAGCCATGAAGGTTGACATGGTAGGAATGCCAGAGGGACCATGACGCATATGACAATGTGATGCAATGTGTCTGTAGCTCACATCGTGACTGCACCCTTGAAGGACATCGAAACAAAAACTTAAGAGGAGTAGCTCGTGTTGCCATGATGACCAAGGGCGTTTGTACTGAAATGAAAAATGCAATGACGGCCTTTTTGACCGTAAATATGGTGATAAACCTTTGCTTCAACATTTTGATATTTTGGCAACATATGGGAACGCGACAAAATCACTCCCAATGTAATTTTCAGACTTCCACTGAGCTCAAATCCCAATTTTGTTCATCACCTCCCATTTTTCGTGGTAAGCCTCCGCCATTTTTCGTGGTAAATCCCACTTCACTCCCCCAATTTTTCCTCAACTCCCACCCAAAAAATTTGGTGCCCGTTCTTCCAAAAATCTTCCCCCATCCTTCCCCCATCGTCCCCCCATGGCCTTGCCGCTCACCGAGCAAGCCATGGAGGCGCTCTGCGACGCCCTGCTCCGTCGGCTGCTGCCGGCGCTGCAGCCGCTGGTGGAGGAGGCTGCGCAGAAGGCCGCCGCTCTGGCCCTGCGCAGCGTCGGAAGCCATGGCGAGCCGCAGTAGCCCGGTGGATCCGGTGACTGGAGGATTTTGGCCTTGAAAATGGGGTTTTGACCTTAGAATCTTGGAGAATCTTAGTACTTTTACAGACTTTTTAGCATTTTTTCTTTGAAGTATTTGGAGGGTCTAGAGTCTAGGTTGTTTGAAAATGATTGAAGAGGTGCTGAAAAACAGTAATATCATATACCCTCACCCTCCACTAATCAAACATTGCTTGCTGGAAAATATCCTATTCATAGATCATTTTCCCAGCTACAAACCTCCATTTAGTTCGGGGGATTTTCCATTGCCATATTTGATTACCAGAGGGTAGGTTTGAAAAAATAATATTGTTCTTTAGAGACTTCAGGATAATATTTGAAAGTTAGTTTTGAATTTACAGGCACTAAACCAAGATGTCTGATCTATTCCATACGATTTCACACTGAAGCCGAGTCAGCCGAGGGTTTGGAAGATGATCCTCTGGTGGATCTAGCAACAAATCTGCGAGGTGTACTTTTCAAAAGATGAAGAGACATCACAACCTGAAGACGTTTCTGGCTGCCCCAGGCTTTCTTTCCTAAGCTGATGGTAAAGGCTGCTCTCAATAGCTGTCGCTTCAACATCGCCTGATAATCCTCTTGGCCAACATGAACCATGCCACGAAAGGCCCAAATGTGTATCTAGGTTGAAAGGACAATGACCTCAAAAATCCTCAAATCTTGAGTTAGAATAGTTGGATACCCCGAAGATGGGATGGTATCCCCATCAAAATAGGGGTAAACTAATGATTCCTAATACCCATTGCAAGGAAACCAGAATGGGATGACCATACCACAATTATTTGACCATATAATTTGACCATGGCACATATTTGGGTACTTCCAAATTTGATGGCTGGGAACTTCGTTCTCCCAACAGATATACATATAATTATATACATACATATATATTTACAGACACTGTATATATATAATATACGTATATATATTACATATATATCCATACGTATATGATATATATATATATATATCCACTATGCAGCAATGCATGTTGATTCATCATATACTCTCTGGTAAAGTAACATAGCTATGGAAGTGTTTCAGTTTTTCGTAGGTAAATCAAATAGAACTAGATGGATGTGTTTCTAAAGACACGTCGAACAATAGACATATTTTCCATAGCAATATGTTAGTTTACCGGGAGTTGTGGCAATTGATGTATTGGTGCTCATAGTATATACATATACACGCATACCCCGTTTATAATGTGTATATATATATATATACACAATATTAGTAGTATTAGTAGTAGTTGAAGTTTTTGCACCATGTATGATTATAAATATGATTATTTTCAATATCAATACCATTATGTGCATACTGTATATGACATGTATATTTTGATCATTAACATTATTATTGCTAATACCACTATTTAGTATTTTATCAGTCTGGATATTGTCGTTCTTAAGATTACTCATAGGAATGATATATGGATGTGGGTCAAAATGGAAGACCTAGGGGACCACAGATGTTAGTCTAGTTTAGTATTAACCATCCAATTATTGGGGTACCTAATTTTGACCCATACCCATATAATGTTTATTGTTATTGTATTGTTATTGTTATTATGATATTTCATTTTGGTAGGTTCTTATGCGGAAAGGAGAAGTAGCTTTCAAGATGTTGCTGAGGTTTGGGGCCACACTTCTTGGCTCGTTGCCTTCTGAAGAGACGGTGCGCTAGGGTTTGGACGTGTTTATTTGTCACCTGATGATGGTGATTTCAATAGGATTCTAAGGGGATATAATGGGGATAATGGAATAGCCATAATATTTGGGCTTGGTACCTGAAAATGGATGAACATGGAAGGATTTACCTCCTATTTATGGCCACTTTATCAATGAAAATTGGGTTTGAAGTTTGAACCATGTGATTTTATAGGATTTTTCTAAGATTTTCAGGCATCAAAATCCCAAAGCCATATGGGTTTTCCCCCCGACATGTCAAGGTTTCGGCCACAGACTCACCCAGAAAAAACGGTCACCTTGCACGCATGGGAACGCGACCCGGCGCCACGTGTGAACTTAAGCTGAAGTTGCCGAGTGGGATGGCACATCACCATCAATTCTGTGATTATCATTACCCTCTGGTAATTTAACGTAGCTATTGAAAATGACCATAGAAATAGAGGATTTACCCATTAAAAATGGTGATTTTCCATAGTATATAGTTATGTTAGTTTACCAGAGGGTATGACTATGAACATTGATATTATCTGGTTGGTGGTTTGGAACATTATTTTTATTTTCCATTTCATATATGGGATGTCATCCTTCCCATTGACGAACTCATATTTTTCAAGATGGTTAAAACCACCAACCAGTTGATATTGTCATTATTCTAGTCTACCCTCTGGTAATGACTAACATAGCGAACTGGAAAATCACCATTTTTTATGGGACAACTCACTATCAATGGCCATTTTCAATAGCTATGTTAGTTTACCAGAGGGTACATTGGTGTATAGTGAAAATAATTTAAAATAATAGCTATTATTAGTATATAATTGGAAACCTCAGCTATTATTAGTATATAATTGGTTCACCTCAGTTTTTATCTGATTCAGAGCCCTACATTTCGCCTCGGTGTCAAACATGGCGGAACGCCGGGAAATCCAAGCAGGAAGCCACGGATCAGATGACCGCAGGGTAATTGTCAATAGACAATTCTGGTTTTAACAATGCTTATTCATAAGGAACAATAATGGACACAAAAATTAGAGGATTGCCAACATCAGATTGTTTGTACGTTTTTTTAACAGTCTTTTGATAGTTGTTTTTACCATAAGTAATTCTAGAATTCTTGGACATCCAATTACCCTCTGGTTATTTAACATAGCCATGGAAAATGGCCCATAGAAATAGATGGTTTACCTGGGTTTACCTATT